CTTTCGCGATGTCAGTTTTCACGGAGAAGACAATACACTCTGGTGGAAAATCTGCGAGGTCAAAGGGTCGGGATATCCCGAACAACTTTACCCGTAATCGGCGCTTCGAACTTGGCCTTCTTCGTAGCACCACGTGGTCCGTTTATTTTACGAGGCCGCAAATACGGCGTCCGTCCGCCCTCTGCTTTCTCAGAAAGGAGAGAAATATGAGTCCGGCAGTGTCAAAACGCGCCTCGCCCTCCGCACGGCCTTTTCTCGCTGAAAGACGATCGTTTCCGATCTTCACTCGGTCGGACCGAACTCGATGACAAATTCCTCGTATGAAGTAGGCTCATTTGAAGAAAATCATTTGAAGGAAATCGTCAATTATTAGGGTGAACTTTTTAACAGCAAGCTCTCAAATTTAGATTCAAGTTTAAATGCGATGTCTTGGCGATGTGTTTGACGTGTTCAAGCAAAATTTTAACTTATCTAAGCTTATTTGGGTTTGCTTAAGTTCAAATCTAAATTTTAGTCCAAGAATTTAAATAAAATTAAATCTGAGTTTATATAAAGTTAAATCTACGTTTAAAAGCCACTGTTGAAAGATCGGCCGTTAGAGCTCCGTTTGTCCTCCGAATAGTTTTAGAATTCTTAGTCGATTTTTTTCTTTGATAGTTCTGACGTTTTAAAGTCTCGTGATAACTCGCGCGCCTTGACGGACTCACGCGTCTCACGATTGAAGTCCGCGAAATTTCTTCAGCACGTGATGAGAAACTGAGAGAACCCGAGGAGGAATCTGCCGTCCTCGATACTCGAATTACAAAGGCTTTCCATTCAGGTGCGCTCCGCGGAGAACGTCAGAAGAAAGCACGCGGAAGTACACAGAAAATTTCAATTCCGTGTTGTCACATTCCAATACAACTTGCACCGTTTCTTTGAGGCTCTTCTTCCGCTAGGATAAAATCATACCCTTCTGATCATCGAGCCTCCGGAAAGAAAACCTGGATTTCCTTGCGACCAGCACTGCAGTTAAACTTCTTGTCCGTACTTTACGATTCCGGAAGAGAACTTCATAACTAAAGCCATGAACGACCGTCACTGATCTCGTAAGAAAAACCGGGCTTCTCCAGAGTATCAGTGACTAAGGGAGATCAACAATTGGGCGTTTTACCCTATCTTTTTATGCCAGAATTTTGCATATACGTTCTCGCTCTTCTGACGTCATCAATCAGGAATAGCTCGACGAGGAGCCCCATAAGGAAGGAAATAAAGTTACCTACGCGTGCATTTCTATTTCTCCTTTTTGAAGAAATAAAAAGGTCAAGAATCCTCAATCTTATTTCTTGTTTCTCAAACGGCATCTCTCTGTGCGGAGATCTCATAGGAGGTATTTCTATGTGCATCAGAGATGTACCGCGTGACCTTTCCGTAAATATAAATATATTGCACATGTGTCCAGGGTGTAAACATGGTTCAAGCGCGGCTCGATCCAAGAAAGATAACGCGCATAATAACTCGGGAAAGTCTCGGGAGCTCAACAGCGAGTGGACGAAACAGGAGTGACACAATGTCGTCAACAAAACCTTCGCACGGAGAAGTGCGCGCGCGGGCAAGATCGGCGAGCATTTGTGACAGTTCGTGCGAACAAATCCGCGATGGCCGTCGTCGTCGTCGTCGTGGTTGCACGACATTGGCATTCGCTGACAATGCGCATCATCTTATAATAGCTTATGGCTTTATAATGACGCGTAATCGCGCGAGCGCGAAGAACGCGGGAAGAAAGCGCGGAGAAAAATCGCGCGACACCACGCTCTCCTCGTTCGCCAAAAGCTTCTCGTGTTACAGAGTCAAGCATCGCCAAAATACGGCGACGGCGGCGGCGGCGGCGGCGGCGGTGGCGGCGGCGGCCGAGGCGGAGGCGGAGGCGGCTGTAGCAGTGGCCGCGGCGGCGGCGAGTTGGGCGTTTCGCACGTAGTTGGCAACGTTTTCTGCCGATGCGCGTGAAATAATTTGGCGTTTGCCACCGGCTTATGTAAGCCCCGTTGCGTCTTTATAGATCGTAATAACAAAACACGGCCGCTGCGGCTCGAAAAGCGCGAAGGAAAATTTATGTTGTGAAGGAAAATTCGTGTAACATCTTATATTGCTTTATCGTATATTTGTCTGGCGAAGGAAAACCGACCGCCTCTACTCTCTCTCTCTCTCTGTTCTCCTCGATCTGGGGTATTTTTTGAATTTTTTGGAACTTTGTGAAAAACGTCTCATGGCCGAGGTATTGATAGTTGAAAACGACAGGTCTGAGAGGGGCGAGCGGAAGTCGAAAAAGAAGCGGTAACAATCATTACACGGAGGGAATTTCGTAGTGAAAATAGAATTTTGCGTGAGAACGAATAATGGATCGACATTCCGCACTAATTATTACGTTTTCATTTCATTTATTACTTTACATTTTGGAAACTGAAATGTGAAAAGTTTTGCTATGTTTCTAAAGAGATTCATTATGTTCTTCAGCAAAATGGATCTTACTGAGTCTATTCTCTTACACTGCTAGAAAAATAATAAAATTGAAAGTATAATTTATGTGAAAAAAAGAAACTGTAACATACTCTCCGTGTAGCGCTTTAGAGAATATTTTGATTGTTACTTGTAAAATTTACTTCTTTTCAGGACAGTATCGTTCAATTTCTGAAAATTTTGAAATTGTCACTTCGGATAGCTATTTCGATATTTTTTTGGCAGATCAGATATATTTGAATCATATTTTACGTGTAATTTGATACAATATGGTTATGAGACAGCAACATGTATTTCGTATTTAACGCGAATATCGCGCATTGCATAAAATAAAAAGAAATCTCGATTTCTCTTTCTCTACAGCCATTTTTTAAAATAAAACCAATAATTTCGGTGTTTAAATTCGTGCATTATAGCTAGAATTATGTAGCACCAACACGTGCGTTTCTCCCTTCCCCCTTCTTTTTTCCCTCTCTCTTTCTCTCTCTCTTTCTCTCTCTCTCTCTCTCTCTCTCTCTGTCGAGTATCAACTTCGGTCTTTGATATGGGTTTCATTTCCGAGGACGAGTCGCGAGATCTCGTTTGCGTTTCACTTTCATCTCGCTCTTGCTCGGAGCTCGTTATCATTATCCGCTTCCGCGTACTCCAGATCCGTGTGGACTCATGTTGTGTCGTTTGCACACATGTCAGTACAACAACAACAAACTCATGAGAGGCTCACATGTAAATTGCTGTCACTATCTCGAGAGAAGGAGATTAGGACGAATTTGAATAACAGTACCGTCACTTACTCGCAAATGCGAAATATTTAGGTCGACGACTGTCAGCGAATCGACTGATCCCCGTGCTCAATGAAAACTGATTCCGCGCGATTGGTCGTGACAATTGATATCTCGTGAGTAGCGCGCGCGAACGGCAGATGTGAGTGACAAGGTAATCAAGCGAATTAGAACGCTACATGGCTCGCGTTACATGCACTTCCCCGACGATTTCGCCGTGAAATCGTGGCCCATTCTCCCTGTCGAACTATTCGACTATCGAGAGGCGTCGCGCGTGGAAGCGGCTAGGAACCGTAGGTGAAAATAGCCATATAAAACATCGCTATATATAAACGGCCGCAAGAAATATTTTTACTGCTGTGCTCCTCTGCCTCAGAGTCAACCCCGAGATCCGCCTCGGGCAGCTCCTTGAAAGCGCTCTTTCAGATCGAAACACCATTTCCACGGTACTCGAGTCGGGACGCGATAATCAAGAGAAAATGAGACGAGGAGCCTCGTTATGGAATTTCGACAGAGACAAGTCGTTAAGGAGGACGTTGTTGAGGAAATCGCCCGCATCGGAAAGTGCACATTAATATTGAAGCTTCATTCGACGAGAAACAATGAGAATATTTTTTCGGATCTGGGCTTCTCCGTCACTACGGGAACGTATTTTCCCCGGTATCATTTGATAAACGAGGCACACCTGCCGCGTTGGAAATCGGTCGAACGTGGGCTATTTATCGCAACGACCACAAGCTCAGTTTATTCTCTAAACTTCTTGGAGTGAAATTTCACTCAAAAAATAGACTGACCACTGAGTCACTTGAATTCTCGCTCATTCTCACTCATTCTCCGTGAATCGTCCTGTGATTATTTTTAATCGAAATTGAAAAGCGAATCTGAGAGATGTGCTCAAACACTGGACCAAACTTATTCTAACGAATTGAAACATACATTGGGACTATTTTATTCGCTTTAACAAAAACCACCTACCAAGTTTTAAACATTTTCTATAAACTTTCTGAAGCGGAATTTTATTCGAAGAAATAGAATGACAGTTAAGTCACTCGAGTGGCTTTTAATTCATACAAAGCGAATTTTTCAGCCTGGATCGTCGAGTGAAATATTTTTACTTGAAATTGAAGAGAATTTGATGTCAAAGAGACATATACACTGTAATAGAATGAAACATTCACTCATATCTCAAGTCAGAATCTACTGAAAGTTTGAGTAAAATGTTCACTCACTGTCGCGATTTCGTTTCAAGTGAAAACGCTGTCACTTTCCACTCGTTTTGAGTGAGATTTTCATTCAAAGGTATTTAAACTTCTCATTTCTCAAGGTATTTAAACTTCTCAGTTTCTCTCAGAAACTGTACATTAACGAGCAATGAGTGAAAAACCATCCGAGATAGTCTTTTCTGCCTCAAATCGCCGACTGCCACTGTCGCGTGCAGTCCTTCAGTGATGATTTCACAGGTGGACCTCGCAGGACGATTTCATACCGAGCTGTGAAGAAGGGTCGCGCACGACTTTGATCCATATCGACATGCACGGGAGATAACGCGAGAGAAACACGTGCCGAAGAGCGCGTTATCGGCATGAACGAGTCCCGAATCCTTATCAGAATCCTTATCAGAAACAGACAAAGTCTCCGGCGATAAACTGGTATAAATACACCAGAAGATCCACCAGACTCGCGACGAAGTCTCACTCGGCAGACACAGACGAATGCGGAACTCACCTTCTGCACCATGAGCGGCGTGCCGAAATCCTTGCCACCCTGCAGACGGAAGCCCCATTGGGAACCGTCGAACCTGGACAGCTTGACGCTGATCAGCTGTGCCATATCACTGCGCGGCCTGAACTCCGCTCGGCTGTGTCGGAGCGAACGCGCGAACCGATCTCGACCGATTTAATTGCAAAACGAGCCCTCAGCTCGGGAACGCTTCTCCAGGAGGTGTCGCGACGCACGTTGCACCACCGTTGAGCCACCGGGTGACCGTTCACGAGACTGTTTCCGCGGCTCTACGTTGCCTGCTTGCGCAAAAGAGGGGTATGTGTCGCGTTCTCGCCGAGTGGAACGTGGCGGGCACGTACGTTCCTGAAGAACGCGCAAACCGGAGTAAAGGTATAAGAGGCGCCGAGGACGGTCAGTCGGGCAGCGGGGCCTCGTCACGCGATTCGGGACGAGGAGGAGGAGTATGAGCGCGGAAGGAAAGGGACGGAACGGAGGGAGACGCCGGGAGGAAAGAGGGGAATGCCACGGCCGTGGTAGGAGGCAGGTGGCGGGGATAGAGAGACGGAAGAGAGGAAGAGAGACAAATTTTATTGTGTTCTAGGCGGAATATCCCTCGTAAAGCGGCGCATACCACCGGGATGATACGACGAGATCTCACCGGGGGGGACGGATGAATTTTAATTGCATCGATATCACTCACACTTACGCACACGTGCCTGTTCCGAGCCTCTTCTGAGCAAGACGAAAGAAGGCAAACATGTTCAGCATTTGCGACTGCTGCTAGACAGAGATGTAAATTTTGGCAGCAACTTTGGCAGTCGATTTGCAAAGTTTACGTTCTTTGTCGAGTTTCTCATATAACACTTGTACTTATCATTTAGAGAATGAGAGAATGACTAAGTAGAAATATTTTTAAAAAATTGTCAAAATGTGTCGAGTCGGCTGGACACCTTTTCTAAAGTCTATAATTTAGCTTGCCTTACAGTGTATAAAATCATGTGTCCAGCATGCTGCATCACTGATTGATGCGCGGGAAGTTTTGTCCTAGCATATTTGAAGTCTGACTGTTGGCTGTAGTGCAAAACAAAAAGTGGCAAATTGAAAATTCTGAAAAATGTTTGCATCCTAGTGATCCCTCAAGTTAAGAAAAATCTTCCACAAAAATTTTGAGATGGTTTTGTCTCACGAGTTTTGCCGAAATAAACTTTATTGCACAGAAATAAATTTTACATCTCACAAATAAACCTTCTAGTGTTTTTTCTCAGTATGAACATTTACATTTACTACTACTATTTCTTCTTTAATATAAAAAATATGGCTGACGTGGTGAAAATGACTCATTTTTGTAATGAGATTAACAATATTTTCTCTGTGCGAAATAACATTATCCGTCCCTTTCTCTCTCTCTCTTTCTCTCGCTCGCTCGCTCTCTTTCCTCTCTTTCCTCTCGCATCCTAGTGTTGCCTCAAGTTAAGAAAAATCTGATACTTCCACAAAAATTTTGAGATGGTTTTGTCTCAGGAGTTTTGCCGAAATAAACTTTATTGCACGGGAATAAATTTTACATCCCACAAATAAAAAAATAAACCTTCCAGTGTTTTTTCTCAGTATGAACATTTACTATTACTATTTCTTCTTTAATATAAAAAATATGGTTGACGTGGTGAAAATGACTCATTTTTGTAATGAGATTAACAATATTTTCTCTGTGCGAAATAACATCATCGGTCCCTTTCTCTCTCTTTCACTCGCTCGCTCGCTCGCTCTCCTCCCTCTTTCACGCTCTCTCTGTCGTGTAATGTGGATTTCGTATGAAATTAAATGATGTAAACTCGTAAACGACTCTCGATCCGACAGTCTTCGCAAACTCCGGTTGCTCCGGCGATAATCGAGCGACGTCGCACAGAGCCAGACAGACGAGATACAAGTAGCAAGGACATAATTAGCAACGAGAAGCAGACGAGACGTAAACGCGTGCATGCTCCTTTGTTGCGGTCACCGAGGAGCCTACGTGACATTCCTGACATTTCGCCCGGTCCTTTTCTCCTGAGCCCGCCTTCCTTCCCTCACCTGTGCCGCATCTTATTGCTGCACCCTTCGCCCCCGACTTCCACCACCACTGCAAAAGAGCACCTGGCACGACACGCTGGATCCGCACCGTGCGGATACGCTCAGTCGTGCGGTAGTTAGTCGCCGGAGAAAGCACAAGGACACCGTTCGGCAATTTAATTAATTGATAGCACGCCCGTGTTCCTCTTGCCCACCGTCGATCTCTCCTTGTACTTACAGCACAATACTTTGCATCGACATCGTGCGATCTTTGCGCTCGCACTCCCCCAAATGTTTTTATTACGGGCGATATTTCTACGTGAACGCGAGTGTGGCAACAGCCTTTGAGTCGCGCGAGAGAAAATCGGAGTGAGAAAAAGGAGAAAATATTTAAAAAATATTCAAACAAAGTATTTATTAAGAAAAACAAAAGAAAAATTGATGGGACTTGCCAAGTGATTCGTCCGTTCGTCCGTCCTTCCTTCGAATAAAAGATTACTCAAATAATGTCAAGTTAACAAAGAAAATATACATCTTACTGGAATAAAAAAATACGCCAGATATATAACGATCTTTAAATATGATGTGAGTAATATTACTATAAGACAAATTTTAACAGATTATTATTTCTACATTGAAGTATGACGTATGTGCTGACTATATACTGTTGCTATTTACTACGCAACTATTTATACGCAATGTTATCAAACCAGAATATGTATAACTTATATTTAAGAGCACATTTTAATTTAACTTAGAATATCTTTTATAATTTCATCATCTATTAACACGTCTATCTTAAATGTACTCCCAATAAAAAATTTTTCATATATAATTATATAAAATTATATAATTATATATATATATTATATATTATATATTATATATTATATATTATATATTATATATTATATATTATATATTAATTATATATTAATTATACATAATTATATATGGACAAATTTCATACATAATTTTGCATGAAAAATTTTACATCGGGCTGTGTTCATATATGTATAATTTTAAATTGGTAATTCGATGGCATTAGTTATACTATTTTACAAGTTCTTATATATATCTAGCGCGTTTCAAAAATTTTTATTTACAATTGCCGAACAAAAATGCGTGTCCCATTACATGTATAAAATCATTTTGTATAAACATTTTCTTTTATGGACATATCTTTTAAGAAATTAATAATTCATTTTTAATCTTTAAAAAAAGCATTATTTTTACTATATATATACTACTTTACACGAATTATTAATCCATTAAAACAATATATGTATATCGTCTAACAATCTATTCATAATTCTATTTATAATGGTGTTACCAAAATGATATTACAGACATATACGGAGATTACAAAGCTATTTGAAAGAGCGATCAAAAATATTCTATAATATATTATTACTACAATCTCTGATAAACAGTTAAATATTTATTAAGATAACACACATTATCACCGTTCTCGTAATCTCTATATGGTCTTAAAGAACTAAATTTATTTTTGCCGTGGTATATACAATATAGAACATCACATATAGGTGACTTTAGAATTCTTCTGATCTTATTTACATTCTGTTCGGCTGTATGTTTTGATTTGGAAGTTAAAAGAAACGGACATTCTTGATCTCTTATTTTTGAAATCACTTCTGATAATGTCTCCCAATCACTAAGATCTACTTGAAATCCAATAATTAAATTTGGTCGCTTATAATACTCGCTGTCTACATAATTATGATATAACATACGATGAATTTCGAAATGGAGATATTGTTTGATACATCTAGTACAAAGCATGATATTTCCATTTTCGGGATGTAATTCTGACCCTATTAGAATAATTTTCAAATATTTTATATAACGCCAATGATGCAGAAGAAGTTCCCAAGTTGGTAAGTAATCTCTATCAACGATGCTTGCGTTTAATATATGAATAACAAAATGACTACCAAGAGAATTTAATTTCCTGACCTTTATTTTCTGTATCCCATAATATAAGGTCAACGGTCCTGATGTGCAGTCAGAATAATAACAAGACATATTACAACATTCAGAGGTGGTCATTTCCGCAGAGAACCTTGGATACACAAAATGTCCAATAAATGATTCCATATCAGTAATATGTATGTTCTCATTGGGATATTCAGCCAAATTTAACATTACTATATTAAATAAAGCCACGTCCCTATTTGCCTCGATACTTTGTCTCAACTTCTTGCAATTGAAACGATGACGTTTTCCCAATAGCTTTTTATGATTACTGCAATAGTTAATAGAATAGCACTTCAAGCAATGGAGGAGATCCTCTGTCTGTCGATAACAAATAATGCACGATTTTGCTAATGTAATCATTTGCACTTCATATGGTTCTAGATCACGCTGCAACTCCAGCTTGACTAAACCTATAAGCTGTTTTCTCGTCTGGATCCATTGTTCCAAGTTTAGTCCATATGTGGACCAAAATTGTAGGTGATTTTTTAAAACGTTTTGAATAGCTTCACACATCTTCATATGACGTTCCTCGCATTTTAGTCTGTGATTATCGCTGCAGTAAGAAATCATGTGGCACTGATTACAGGTTATGAAATTTCCATTATCATTCTCCTTGCACTCGTGACAAATATTCGGGTTAAAGAATTCAATGTTTTTAAAGAACTCTGAGGATTGCATCATGTCGATGATGAGTTTCGGCAGCGTACCGGCGATAATGTCTGATAGCTGATGCGTTATTTGTAATATCGATTTTGAAGAGTGAAGCTCAGTATCTTAACAAAAATAACAAAATTCTCTTTGGACACTTCTTATGTAGTGGTGTCTGTTCGAAAAACACTAAGATGAAACTTGCGATTTGTTCTATCCTTCCCGCGAATTGTTGACAAATTGTATTGTATCTGAACATGTAACAAATTTCGAGAACATTTGTTACCAAGTAAAATGTCGATAGTGAATAATTCTTCACGAGATCTGTAAACTAATGACGTAACTTATGATTCGATATATTTGCTTTGTGCAGTATGAAGGAAAAATCGCTTGTAGAAAAGAAGGAATTTGCATATTTTATTAATATTACTAACGCGCGAATTGATAATGTAATTATCGTTCTGAAAAGCTCGGTTAGAGAAAATTTTTCTTTTTATACAATTATAGAAATAAAATTGGACAAAGTTTTTCTTTACCCTTTGTAGCACAACCGATATTTAAACAAAAAAAATTATTTTAAAAAGTTCTCAAATGACTACATGTCGAATTATTTCCGAAAAGTATCGAAAAAATATATGTCATTATTTATATTCGTGTTTTATACGTGTTCTTCACAACACGTACGATGGAATAAGTATTTTTGATCAATACTCAATATTATTTTATATATGTGATTTGTATTATAACTTATTTAACAGATTATTATTTATACATTAGCATGACCTATTTTCTGACTACATGGAGTTTCTGTTTACTACGCATCTAATATATACGCAACATTGTCAAATTAAAACATGTATAATATATTTGTTCTGCACATTTTATAATTTAACTTACATACACAATACCTGTTATAATTATAATATCTCTACAATTTACTTTAATTATATATCTTTTACAATTTTACCATCTATTAATATGACTTCCTGAAATATGTTTCTACATGTATATTTTTAAAGTAGTAATTCCATGGCATTAGCCATATACTATTTTACAAATCTTATATATATCTAGCGTGAAATTTTGATACATAAATGCTGTCCAATAATGCAAGTCCCATTACATGTATAAAAGCGTTTTTTATAAACATTTCCTTTTACAGACAGGTCATTTAAGAAATTTATAATTCATTTTTAATCTTTAAAAGAAAAACGTTTTTTTACAGGTACTTTGTTACATGAATTGTCAACTTATTAAAATAAGATATATATACGACGTCTAACAACCTATCTATAATTCTATTTACAATTGTGTTATTAAAATAATATTATAGATGTATACGAAAATTTAAAAATTCTTTGAGAATAACAAAAATATTCTATAACTTATTACTATTGCAATCTCTTATAAATAGTTATAAAATTATTACGATAAGATGCACCACTGTCCTCGAAATCTACATATGGTCTATGGGAATTAAAACTATTTGGGCCGTTGTATAACAGATATAGGACGTTACACTGTTCCGCCAGGACTTCGTTGATCTTATTTAAATTCTGTTCGGCTATATGTTCTGTTTTAGAGGTTAAAAGAAACGGACAACTTTGATGTCTTATTTTTAAAATTGATTGCGAGAATGTATCCCAATTACTAAAATCTACTTGAAATCCTATAATTACATTTGGTTGCTTATAATACTCGCTGTTTACATAATTGTGATATAACATATGATGAATTTCGAAGTTGAGACATCGTTGGAAACATTTTATACTACAAACCATGAGGTTTCCACTTTCGGTACGTAATTCTGGCCCTATCAGAATAATTTTCAATTCTTTCATGTTAGGTAAAAGATGCAGAAGAAGTTCCCAAGCTGCAATATAATCTCTATCAACGAAGTGTGCGTTCATTATATGAATAACAGTACACGAATCTGGATTATCAAGAGAATCTAATTCATTTATTATCTGTACCCCATAATATAAGGTCAACGGTCCTGATACGTAATCAGAATAATAAAGACACATACTAGGGGAATTCCCATACATGCACTGTATTGGATACACAAATTGACGAACAAACTCATTCATGTCAACAATACGTATGTTCTCATTGGGAAACTCTGCGAATCTGCATCTCATTACTCCATATAAAGTGATGTCCGTATTTGTCTTAAGACATAATTTCAACTGGCTGCAATTAATACTATGACGGTTTCCCAATAGCTTCTCATGATGACGACAATAGTTAATGTAATAGCACTTAATGCAATGAAGGAGATTTGTTTGATGATAACAAATAATACACGATTTTGCCAAAGTGATCATTTGCTCTTCATATGGTTCTAGATCACGTTGCAACTCCAGCTTGACTAAACGCACAAACATTTTTCTCGTCTTAATCCATTCTTCCAAGTTTATTCCAAAAGTGGACCAAAAATGTGGATGATTCTTTGAAACGTTTTTCATAGCTGCACAAATCTGCATATGACATTCTTTGTTCATTAATTTGTGATCACTGTTACAGTAAGAAATCATATGGCACTGATCACAGGTTATGAAATCCTTATTAAAGTCCAATGGCGTCTTGCAAACATGACAAATATTCGGGTTAAAGAAATCATAGGTTAGAGATAACAATGATGAGAATTGCAACATATCGATGCTGAATATCAGCAGCGTATTGATTGTAGCAGATGATAACTGATGCGTTATTTGTAATATCGATTTATAAGTAACGCGCGAAATACAATATTTTAGCAGAAATAACAACATTCTCTTTGGATACATCTTATGTAATGATAAGTGTTAAAACTCTTAGTGTTTAAAGGACACTAAGAAGGTACTTACAATTTTTTCTACGCATCTTACGAATTGTTGACAAAAGGAGTTGTATCTGAAGATATAAAAAACTTCGAAAACATTCGTTACCAAGTAGAAAGCTGCGAATAATTTTCTACGAGTTTTATGACATAACTTATGATTCGATATATTTGCTTTGTGCGGAAATGAAGGAAAAACCGCAGAAAGTGAGTTTGCAAAATATTATATTAATAAAATTATTACAAACGTAATCATAGCATAATTAACGTTACGAAAAAGTGGGGGAAATATCTTCCTTTTTGTATAATCACAGAAATAAGGATTGGTACATTTTTTTTTAGACTTCGTGGCATAACCGATTTTTAATAACAGAAATTTATTTTGAGAAATTCTCAGATGATGGAATGTCGAACTCTTTTTGGAAAGTATCAAAAGAATATCATTATTTATATCCATAATTATACGTATTCATCACATACATACGATGAAATACATATGTCTTGATCGATATTCAATATTACTTTATATTACTTTATAATTTGTATTTTATTATATTTCAAAAATTATTATTTGTAGTACATTGGCATGACCGACTTGCGGACTACATAGAGTTTCTATTTATTACGCAACTAATATATAGTCATGTACAATATCAAATATATGTCAAATTAAAATATATATAAATTATATTTGTAAGCATATTTTAATTTAACTTACAATATCTTTTACAAGTATAACATCTTTTACAATTTGACCATCTATTAAAATGTGTTTCTCTGAAATGTATAGATATGTACTATGTTTATATATGTATATTCCTAAATTAGTAATTCCATGGTATTAGTCTTTTTATTTTACAAATACTATTTTACATATTTTATATATGCTTACATGTTTATGAAATTTTCATTCACAATTATACAAATAATGTACATACAAAAATATATAACTCATTAAATGTATCAAAAGATTTTGTATAAATATTTATTTTTATAAACATGTCTTTTAAGAAGTTTATAATTCTTTTTCAATATTTATAAAAAGAAATATTTTATTTTACAAATATCTCTTTACATGAATTATTAATTCATTAAAACAATACGAATATGTCGCCTAACAATCTATTCATAATTCTATTTACAATGGTATTATCAAAATTATATTGCAGACGTATACAGAAAAAAACTCATTAGGAACAACTAAAATGTTCTATAGCTTACTACTATCACAATCTCTTATAAACAGTTAAATACTCATTACGATATGATGGACTTCTGTCCTCGAAATCTACATATGGTCTATGGGAATCAAAATTATTTATGCCGTTGTATACAAGATATAGGACATTAGACAGTTTCAGGCATTCGTTGATCTTATTTACATTTCGATTGGCTATACGTTTTGATTTAGAGGTTAAAAGAAACGGACATCTTTGATGTTTTATTTTTAAAATTGATTGCGAGAATGTCTTCCAATTACTAAAATCTACTTGAAATCCTATAATTACATTTGGTCGCTTATAATAGTCGGTGTCTAAATAATTGTCATATAACATATGATGAATTTCGAAGTTGAGACATTGTTGGAAACATCTTATATTACAAACCGTGATATTTCCAATTTCGTCACGTAATTCTGGCCCTATCAGAATAATTTTCAATTCTTTTATGTTAGGTAAAAGATGCAGAAGAAGTTCCCAAGCTGGAATGTATTCTCTATCAATGAAGTGTGCGTTTATTATATGAATAACAGTACACGAATCTGGGTTATGAAAAGAATTTAATTCATTTATTTTCTGTATCCCATAATATAAGGTCAACGGTCCTGATACGTAATCAGAATAATAAAGACACACACTATACCATGCAGAGGAATTCCCATACGTCCACCTCATTGGATACACAAACTGACGAAGAAACGTATCCATGTCAACAGTATGTTCGTTCTCATTGGGAAACTCTTCGAATCTGTTTGCTATTACTCCAAATAAAGCGATGTTCGTATCTGTATTAAGGCAAAATTTCAACTTCTTACAATTATAACGATGACGGTTTCCCAATAGCTTCTTATGATGAGGACAATAGTTAATGTAATGGCACTTAGTGCAATGAAGGATATCCGTTTGTCGATAACAAATAATGCACGATTTTGCTAAAGTGATCATTTGCTCTTCGTATGGTTCTAGATCACGTTGCATTTCCAGCTTGACTAAACGCACAAACTGTTTTCTCGTCTGAATCCATTCTTCCAAGTTTATTCCAAAAGTGAACCAAAAATTTGGGTGATCCCTTAAAACGTTTTGCATAGCTGCACATATCTGCTTATGACTCTCGTTGTTCCTTGATTTGTGATCCATGCTGCAGTAAGAAATCATGTGGCATTGATCACAGGTTATGAAATTCTCATTAAGTTTCCATGGCGTCTTGCAAACATGACAAATATTCGGGTTAAAAAACTCATCGTTTGGAGATAACAGTGAGAATTGCGACATATCGATGCTGAATATCAGCAGCGTACCGACTGTAACAACTGATAACTGATGCGTTATTTGTAATATCGATTTATAAGTAACGCGCGGAATACAATATTTTAGCAGAAATAACAACATTCTCTTTGGATACATCTTATGTAATGATAAGTGTTAAAACTCTTAGTGTTTAAAGGACACTAAGAAGATACTTACAATTTTTTCTACGCATCTTGCGAATTGTTGACAAAAGGAGTTGTATCTGAAGATATAAAAAATGTCGTAGATATAAAACTTTCGAAGATATAAAAAACTTCGAAAACATTCGTTACCAAGTAGAAAGCCGCGAATAATTTTCTACAAGTTTTATAACGTAACTTATGATTCAATATATTATATTTGCTTTGTACGGAAATGAAGGAAAAATCACTTGTGGAGGAAAATGAGTTTGCAAAATATTATATTAATATGACAAACGAAACCATAGCATAATTAACGATACCAAAAAGTGGGGTTAGAAAATATCTTCCTTTTTATATAATCACAGAAATAAAGATTGGTACCGTTTTTCTTTAGACTTTGTGGCATAACCGATTTTTAGTAACAGAAATTTATTTTGAGAAATTCTCAGATGATGGAATGTCGAACTCTTTCTGGAAAGTATCAAAAGAATATCATTATTTTTATCCATGATTATACGTCATCACATACATACGATGGAATACATATGCTTGATCGACATTCAATATTACTTTATATATAATTTGTATTTTATTATATTTCAAAAATTATTATTTGTAGTACATTGGTATGACCGACTTGCGGACTACATAGAGTTGCTATTTATTACGCAACTAATATATTATCATGAATAATATCAAATATATGTATATGTCAAATTAAAATATGTATAAATTATATTCGTCAGCATATTTTAATTTAACTTACAATATCTTTTACAGGAATAACATCTTTTACAATTTGACCATCTATTAAAATGTGTTTCTCTGAAATGTACAGATATGTACTATGTTTATATATGTATATTCCTAAATTAGTAATTCCATGGTATTACTATTATCGTACTATTTCACAAATATTATTTTACAAATTTTGTATATACTTACATGTTTATGAAATTTTCATTCACAATTATACAAATAATATACGTACAAAAATATATAACTCATTAAATGTATCAAGAGATTTTGTATAAATATTTATTTTTATAAACATGTCTTTTAAGAAGTTTATAATTCATTTTCAATGTATATAAAAGGAAATATTTTATTTTACAAATATCTCTTTACATGAATTCTTAATTCATTAAAACAATACGAATATGTCGCCTAACAATCTATTCATAATTCTATTTACAATGGTATTATCAAAATTATATTGCAGACGTAGACAGAAAAAAACTCATTAGGAACAACTAAAATGTTCTATAGCTTACTACTATCACAATCTCTTATAAACAGTTAAATACTCGTTACGATAAGATATACCAGCAATCTCGTAATCTTCGTATGGTCTATGGGAATTAAAACTATTTGGGCCGTTGTATAAAAGATATAGGACGTTACACTGTTCCGGCAGGACTTCGTTGATCTTATTTATATTCTGTTCGGCTATATGTTTTGATTTAGAGGTTAAAAGAAACGGACATTCTTGATGTTTTATTTTTAAAATTGATTGCGAGAATGTCTCCCAATTACTAAAATCTACTTGAAATCCTATAATTACATTTGGTCGCTTATAATACTCGCTGTCTACATAATTGTGATATAACATACGATAAATTTCGAAGTTGAGATATCGTTTGAAACATCTTATTTTACAAACCATAAGATTTTCACTTTTGGTATGTAATTCTGGTCCTATCAGAATAATTTTCAATTCTTTCATGTTAGGAAAAAGATGCAGGAGAAGTTCCCAAGCTGGAATATAATCTCTATCAACGAAGTGTGCGTTTATTATATGAATAACAGTACACGAATCTGGATTATGAAAAGAATCTAATTCATTTATTTTCTGTATCCCATAATATAAGGTCAACGGTCCTGATACGTAATCAGAATAATAAAGATATATACTATTCCAGATATTGGAATTCTCAAACATCCACTTTATTGGAGACACAAACTGATGAAGAAACGCATTCATGTTAACAGTTTGTTTCTTCTTATTGGGAAACTCTGCGAATTTATATATTAATGCTCCATATAAACTGATGTCCGTATTTGTCTCAAGACATAATTTCAACTTGTTACAATTATAACGATGACGGTTTCCCAATAGCTTCTTATGATGACGACAATAGTTAATGTAATGGCACTTAGTGCAATGAAGGAGATTCTTTTGTCGATAACAAATAATGCACGATTTTGCCAAAGTGATCATTTGCTCTTCATATGGTTCTAGATCACGTTGCAATTCCAGCTTAACTACACGCACTAACTGTTTTCTCGTCTGAATCCATTCTTCCAAGTTTATTCCAAAAGTGGACCAAAAATGTCGGTTATTCCTTGAAACGTTTTGCATAGCTGCACATATCTGCTTATGACGTTCTTTGTTCAATAATTTGTGATCCATGCTGCAGTAAGAAATCATGTGGCATTGATCGCAGGTTATGAAATTCTCATTAAGGTCCCATGGCATCTTGCAAACATGACAAATATTCGGGTTAAAGAAATCATAGGTTGGAGATAACACTACTCCCGACAATTGCGACATATCGATGCTGAATATCAGCAGCGTACCGACTGTAACAACTGATAACTGATGCGTTATTTGTAATATTGATTTATAAGTAACGCGCGAAATACAATACTTTAGCAGAAATAACAACATTCTCTTTGGATACATCTTATGTAATGATAAGTGTTAAAACTCTTAGTGTTTAAAGGACACTAAGAAGGTACTTACAATTTTTTCTACGCATCTTGCGAATTGTTGACAAAAGGAGTTGTATCTGAAGATATAATAAACTTCGTAGATATAAAACTTTCGAAGATATAAAAAACTTCGAAAACATTCGTTACCAAGAGAGCCGCGAATAATTTTCTACGAATTTTATGACGTAACTTATGATTCGATATATTATATTTGCTTTGTGCGGAAATGAAGGAAAAACCGCTTGTGGCAGAAAGTGAGTTTACAAAATATTATATTAATATGACAAACGAAATCATAGTATAATTAACGTTACGAAAAAGTGGGGGAAATATCTTTTTTTTTGTATAATCATAGAAATAAAGTTTGGCACAGTTTTTCTTTAGATTTTGTGGCATAACCGATTTTTAGTAACAGAAATTTATTTTGAAAAATTTTCTATTGATGGAATGTCAGACTCTTTCTGGAAAGTATCGAAAGAATATCATTATCTATATCCATGATTATACATGTTCATTACACACATACGATGGAATACATATGCCTTGATCGATATTCAATATTACTTTATATATAATTTGTATTTTATTATATTTTAAAAATTATTATATGTAGTACATTGGCATGACGGACTTGCGGACTAAAGTTTCTATTTATTACGCAACTAATATATAAGCAATATTGTGATGTATAATGTCAAATATATGTCAAATTAAAATATGTATAAATTATATTCGTCAGCACAATTTATTAAATGTATCAAATTATTTTTTATAAATATTTACTTTTATAAACATATCTTTTATGAAGTTTATAATTAATTTTCAATATATTAAAATATATATTTATAAAAAGTTATTTATAGAAATATATATTTATAAATTTATATATATTTGTAATTTATTGTATATATATTTATAAAAGGAAATATTTTAATTTACAAATATTTCTTTATACATGAATTATTAATCTATTAAAACAATACGAATATGCTGCTTAACAACAAAAAACAGGAACAACAAAAATATTCTATAACTTATTACTATCACAATCTCTTATAAACAGTTAAAAACTTATTACGATAAGATGCACCACTGTCCTCGAAATCTATATATGGTCTATGGGAATTAAAATTATTTTTGCCGTTGTATAAAAGATATAGGACACTACATATAGTTGGCCTTAGAACTTTGTTGATTTTATTTACATTCTGTTCGGCTATATTTCTCGATTTTGAAGTTAAAAGAAACGGGCATTCTTGATCTTTTATTTTTAAAATCGATTCTAATAAATCATTTGTCTCCCAATCACTAAGATCTACTTGAAACCCAATAATTATATCTGGTCGCTTAAAACACTCGCTGTCTACATAACTGTGATATAACATACGATGAGTTTCAAAGTTAAGATATTGTTGGAAGCATCTTATATCACAAAGCATGAGATTTCTACTTTCGGTACGTAATTCTGGCCCTATTAAAATAATTTTCAATTCTTTTATGTTAGGTAAAAGATGCAGAAGAAGTTCCCAAGATTGTATGTAATCTCTATCAACGAAGTTTGCGTCTATTATATGAATAACACAGCGTGATTCTAGTTTATGAAAACAATCTAATCCATATATATTTTGTATCCCATTATATAAGGTCAATGGCCCTGATACATAATCAGAATAATAAAGACATATACTATACCACACAGGGGAAGTTTCATCCATCCAGTAGTATGGATACACAAAATGATCAATAAATGCATTCATGTTACCTATAAGTTTGTTCTCATTGGGAAACTCTATGAATCTGTTTGAATATACTGGATTTAAAGCGATGTCTGTATTTGTCCAGAGGCATAATTTCAACTTGTTGCAATTAAAACGATGACGGTTTCCCAATAGCTCTTTATGATTACGGCAATAGTTAATAGAATAGCACTTAGTACAATAGAGGAGATTCGTCTGTCGATAACAAATTACGCACGATTTTGCTAATGTGATCATTTGCTCTTCATATGGTTCTAGATCACGTTGCAACTCTAGCTTGACTAAACGCACTAACTGTTTTCTCGTTTGGATCCATTCTTCCAACTTTATTCCAAAAGTGGACCAAAAATGTCGGTGATTCCTTGAAATGTTTTGTATAGCTGCACATATCTGCTTATGACGTTCTTTGTTCGATAATTTGTGATCTATGCTGCAGTAAGAAATCATGTGGCATTGATCACAGGTTATAAAATTCCCCTTACGTTTCCATGTCGTCTTGCAAACGTGACAAATATTCGGGTTAAAGAAATTATAGGTTTCAGTTAACAGTTTCAAGAATTGCGACATATCGATACTGAATATTAGCAGCGTACTGACTGTAACAGCTAATAGTTGATGCGTTATTTATAATATCAATTTATAAATAACGCGCGAAGTTCAGTACTTTAGCAGAAATAACATTCTCTTTGGACACTTCTTATATAATGATAACTGTTAAAATTCTGAGTGTTTTAAGGTTACTCAGAAGATACTTTTTTCTATGCTTCTCGCGAATTGTTGACAAAAAGAGTTTTATCTGAAGATATAAAAAACTTCGAAAACATTTGTAGACCAAGTAGAATGTCGTGAATAATTCTCTACGAGTTTCATGACGTAACTCGAATGATTCGATATATTTGCTTAATTGTGTAAAGGAAAAATCGTTAGTAGAAAAGAAGGATTTTGCATTTGATATTCGAGGCTTTCGAGGTGTTCATGAATATTGAAAGGATTCCATGAAGGAATTTGCTGATTCGATGAAGATGTTATATTAATATTATCAACAAATTGATAGTGTAATTATTGTTCAAAAAAGCAGTTAGAAAACATGTTTTTTTTTATACAATCACAGAAATAAAATTTGACACATTTTTTTCTTACATTTTGTGGCATAATCGACATTTAAATAAAAAAAAATTATTTTGAAAAATTCTCAGATGACTGCATGTCCAATTATTTCTGAAAAGTACCGAAAGTATGTGTCATCATTTATATTCGCGTTTTATACGTATTGATTACAACACGTACGATGAAATAAATATTTTTTTATCAATACTCAGTATCATCTTATAAATGTGATTTGTATTTTATTATATTTAACAGATTATTATTTGTACATTAGCATGATCTATTTGCTGACTACATAGAGTTTCTGTTTATTACGCAACTAATATATATGCAATATTGTCAAATTAAAATAGGTACTTATATTCGCGTGCACATTTTGATTTAACCTTTACAATATCTTTTACAATTTTATCATATGTTAATATGTTTTCTTGAAATATGTTCATACATGTATATTTTTAAAATAGTAATTCCATGGCATTAGTATTATTTTATAAATCTTATATATCCTAGCCTGAAATTTTTATGCACAAATGTCGTCGAAACACAAATGCAAGTCCAATTTTAAAAACGTTCTTTATAAACATTTCCTTTTACAGACATAACTTTTAAAAAAGAAAAATTTTTTTTTAGATACTTCGTTACACGAATTGTCAATTTATTAAAACAATATATATCGTCTAACAATCTATCTATAATTCTGTTTACAATAGTGTTATTAAAATAATATTACAGACGTATACGGAAATTTAGAAATTCTTTGAGAACTATAAAAATATTCTATAACTTATTATTATTACAATCTTTTATAAACAGTTAAATACTTATTAAGATAAGACACACTACCATTTTCATAATCTCTATATGGTCTATACGAACTAAATTTATTTTTGCCGTTGTATGTAAGATATAGAACATCACATATAGGTGACTTTAGGATTTCCTTGATTTTATTTACATTCTGATCGACTGTATCTTTTGATTTAGAAGTTAAAAGGAACGGGCATTCTTGACATTTTATTTTTAAAATCGTTTCCGGTAACGTTTCCCAATTACTAAGATCTGCTTGAAATCCAATAATTACATTTGGTTGCTTATAACACTCGCTATCTACATAATTGTGATATAACATTCGATGAGTTTCGAAGTTAAGATATTGTTGGATACATCTTATATTACAAACCATGAGATCTCCACTTTCAGTACGTAATATTGGCCCTATCAGAATAATTTTCAATTCTTTTATGTTAGGCAAAAGATGCAGAATAAGTTCCCAAGCTGGTAAGTATTTTCTATCAAATAAGTTTGCGTTTATTATATGAATAACAAAACATGAATCTGATTTATAGATACAATCTAATCTATTTATTTTCCGTATTCCGTAATATAATGTCAACGGTCCTGATACGAAATCAGAATAAAAAAAACTTATATAAAACAAGGAAGTGGAAAAAGGACCAAACAAAAGTTTGTATTTTGTACTCACAAATTCGCTAATAAATGCATACATGTCATCAATAAATTTATTCTCATCGGGAAACTCTGTGAATTTATCTATTATTATTGGAGATAAATTCAACTCTATATTTACTCGAAAAGATAATTCCAAATTCCTGCAATTAAAACGATAATGGTCGGCCAATAAGTTTTGATGATCATAGCAATAATTAACGGAATAGCACTTCAGGCAATGGAGAAGATTATCCTGTCGATAACAAATAATGCACGATTTTGCTAATGTAATCATTTGCACTTCAAATGGTTGTAGGTCACGTTGCAACTCGAACTGGATTAAACGCACAAGCTGTTTTCTCGTCTGTACCCATTCCTCCAAGTTTATCCCAGAAATGGACCAAAGTTGTGGGTGACTGATCGAAACGTTTCGCATAGCTTCACAAATCTGCATATGACGCTCGTTGTGCATTAATTCGTGATCACTGTTGCAGTAAGAAATCATATGGCACTGATTACACGTTATGAAATTCTTATTAAGGTCCCATGGCGTCTTGCAAATGTGACAAATATTCGGGTTGAAGAATTCAAAAGGAAACACAAATTCCACGAATAGCGACATGTCGGTGCTGAGTATCGGTAGTATGCCGTAACAGCTGATAGTTGATAGTTATTTTAAATATGGATTTAAAAGTAATGCGCAAAGCGCGCTCGGTATATTAACAAAAATAATAAGAATCTCTTGGGACACTCCTTATGTAATGATGCCTTCAAAATGTAAGAACATATTTATAGTTTTTTTATGCGCCTCGGGAATTGTTGACAAATTGAATTGTATCTGACGACATAACAAATTTCAAGAACATTTGTTACCAAGGAGAATGTCACGAATAATTTTGCACGAGATTTGTAAATTAATGGCGTAATTTATGATTCGAAATATTATATTTACTTTGTGCAGTATAAAGGAAAAATTTCTTTTGGAAAAAAAGGAATTTGAATTGAATGAGGAGATGAATATTATTCACGAATTAAAAGGGGAATTAAAATTTCGAAAAAGCGGGCTTAGAAAATATTTTTCTTGTACAATCACGGAGATAAAAGTTGATACAGTTATTCTTTACACTTCGTGATATAACTGACATTTAAATAAAAAAATTTATTTGTGAAATCCTCAGATGATCGGATATCGAATAATTTCCAAAAAGTATCGAAATAATGTGTGTCATCTTTTATATTCGTGATTATACGTGTTCGTCACAATACGTGCGATGGAATACATATGTTTTGGCCGATATTTAATATTATCTTTTATGTGTAATTTGTATTTCATTATATTTCACAATTTATTATTTATATATTGGCAGGACCGACTTGCTAACTAGAGTTTGTATTTATTACGCAACAAATATATACACAATATTGTCAACTTAAAATATGTATAATGTTAGATATATGTATATTTCAAATTAAAATATGTATAATATTAGATATATGTATATGTCAAATTAAAATATGTATAAATTATATTCGTCAGCACATTTGTCTTTAACTTACAATATCTTTTAAAACTATCATACTTATCATCCTTTACTATTTGAACATCTATTAATATGTCTTTCTGAAATATACTGATACGTATTGTGTATGCAAATATATGTATATTATGTGTCTTTTATGTGTAATTTGTATTTCATTATATTTCACAGTTTATTATTTGTACAATGGCAAGACCAACTTGCTATCTAGAGTTTGTATTTATTACGCAACAAATATATACACAATATTGTCAAATTAAAATATGTATAATATTAAGTATATATATATGTCAAATTAAAATATGTATAATATTAAATATATGTATATATCAAATTAAAATGTGTATAAATTATATTCGTCAGCACATTTTACTTTAACTTACAATATCTTTTAAAACTATCATACTTATCATCTTTTACATTGAAAATCTTTTACATCTTACATCTTTACATTACATTTTACATTTTTACATTAAACATTAATTTGAACATCTATTAATGTGTCTTTCTGAAATATACTGATACGTACTGTGTATGCAAATATATGTATATTTCTAAATTAGTAATTCCACACACACACACACACATGGCATTAGTCCTACTATTTTACAAATCTTATATATACTTAGCATGTTTATGACATTTTTATTTACAATTGCCGTATAAAAATACGTGTCCCATTATATATATATATATAAAAACATTTTTTATAAATATTTACTTTCATAAACATGTCTTTTAAGAAGTTTATAATTCATTTTCAAACTTTATAAAAAGAAACATTTTCTTTTACAAATATCTCTTTACATGAATTATTAATACATTAAAATGAATATGTCGTCTAACAATTATCTATTCATAGTATTTTTATTTACAATGGTGTTATCGATATGATATTACAGACGTATACGGAAATTTCAAAACTTTTTGAAGATAACAAAAATGTCCTATTATTTAATACCATTACAATCTCCTAAAAACATTTAAATAATCATTACGATAAGATGCATCACCGTCTTCGAAATCTACATATGGTCTTTTGGATTTAAAATTATTTTCTCCGTGGTATAAAAGATATAGGACATTACATACAGGCTGTAGAATACTGCTGATTTTCTCTAGATTTTGTTGAGCTTTATGTTGTGATTTGGCAGTTAAAAGTAACGGACATTGTTGATGTTTTATTTTTAAAATTATTTGCGGTAATGTCTCCCAATCAGTAAAATCTACTTGAAATCCTATGATTACATCTGGTCGCTTATAACATTCGCTGTCTACATAATTGTGATATAACATACGATGAGTTTCGATGTTAAGATTTTGTCGAAAGCATCTTATAGTACAAAGCGTGAGACTTTCACTTTTGTTAGACAATATTGACCCTATCAAGATAATTTTCAATTCTTTTACGTTAGGTAAAAGATGAACAAGAAGTTCCCAAGCTGGTAAGTATTCTATATCAATCAATTTTGGGTCTATTATATGAATAACAAAATGCGAATCTAGTTTATGAAAACAATCTAATCCATGTAATTTCCGTATCCCATAATATAAGGTCAACGGTCCCGATGCATAATCAGAATAATAAAGACACAAATTGTACCAGACAGTGTAACTTTTATCTTTCCAGTGTTTTGAAAATACAAATTTATCAATAAATGCATCCATGTTATTAGCAGGTTGAGCGTCATTGGGAAACTCTATGAATCTGTCTATAATTATTGGATGCAAAGTCATGAACGTATTTGTCCAGAGGCATAATTTCAACTTATCGCAATTAGAACTATGACGGTTTCCCAATAGCTCTTTATGATTATTACAATAGTTAATGGAATGACATTTTTGGCACTGAAGAAGATTATCCTGTCGATAACAAATAATGCACGATTTTGCTAATGTAATCATTTGCTCTTCATATGGTTGTAGATCACGTTGCAATTCCATTTGGACCAAATATTTAAGTAGTTTTCTCGTCTGAATCCATTCCTTCAACGCTATTCCACATGTGTACCAAAATTGTTGGTGACTTTTTGAAATGTTTCGTAAAGCTGTACAAATCTGCATGTGACACTCGTTGTTCTTTAATTTGTGATCCATGCTGCAGTAAGAAATCATGCGGCACTGACCACAGGTTATGAAAATCTCATTAATTTGCTGTGGCATCTTACAAACGTGACAAATATTCGGATTGAAAAAATTATAGTATTTAGAGAACACTGATTCCGAGGAATGCGACATATCGATGCTGAGTATCAACAGCGTATCGACTGTAACAGCTGATTGCTAATGCGTTATTTGTAATATCGATTTATAAGTAACGCGCGAAGTCTAGTACTTTAGCAGAAATAACAACATTCTCTTTGGACACTTCTTATGTAATGATGACTCTTAGTATTTAAAGGACACTAAGAAGATATTTACAATTTTTTCTATGCGTCTTGTTGACAAGAAGAGTTATATCTGAAGTTATAAGAAACTTTGAAAACATTCGTTATTAAGTAGAATGTCGCGAATAAATCTCTACGAGTTTTATGACGTAACTTATGATTCGACATATTATATTTGCTTTATGCGGTAATGAAGGAGAAATCGCTTGTGGAAAAAAGTAAATTTGCAAAATATTATATTAATATTACCAACGAAATAGTATAATTAACGTTACGAAAAAACGGAGTTATTAAATATCTTTTTTTTGATAATCACAGAAATATAGATTGGCGTAGTTTTTTTTAGGCTTTGCGACATATCCGATTTTTTGTAATAGAAATTTATTTTGAGAAATTCTCAGATGATGCAATGTTGAATTCTTTTGGTTGCTTATAGAACTTGCTATCTACATAATTGTGATATAACGTACGATGAGTTTCGAAATTAAGACATCGTTGGACGCATCTTATAGTACAAAGCATAAAATCTCCACTTTCGGTAATATCTATCGGTGTAAATCTGATCCTATCAGAATAAATTTCAATTCATTTACGTTAAATAAAAGGTGTAGAATAAATTTCCAAGCAGGTAAGTATTTTCTTTCAAATAAGTTTTGCGTCTATTATATGAATAACAAGAAAGTAGAGATACTAAATGAAGGTCATACTTTATACACATAAATTCTCTAATTAATGCTTACATGATATCAATAAATTTATTTTCATCGGGAAACCCTGTGAATCTGTATTATTATTGGAAATAAAGTCAAGTCCATATTTATTCGAAAAAATAATTTCAAGTCCCTCCAATTAAAGCGATGATGATCTGCCAATAGGTTCTGATTTGGATTGATGCCTAGATTTTGATGATCATCGCAATAATTGACGAAATAGCACTGAAAGCAATGCAGAAGATTCATCTGTCGATAACATATAATGCACGATTTTACTAATGTCATCATTTGCTCTTCACATGGTTCTAGATCACGTTGCAACTCCAGCTTGACTAAACGCATAAGCTGTTTTTTCGTCTGAACTCATTCTTCTAAATTTATTTCAGAAGTGGACCAAAGTCGTGGGTGGCTTCGAAACGTTTCTCATAGCTGCACAAATCTGTATATGACGTTCGTTGTTTATTAATGTATTATCACTGTTGCAGTAAGAAATCATATGACATTGATTACAGGTTATGAAATTCTCATTAAGATCCTATGACATCTTGCAAATGTGACAAATATTCGGGTCGAAGAATTCAAAAGTTTCAGGAAACACAAATCCTGCGAATCGCGACATGTCGGTGCTGACTATTAGCAGTACACCATAATAGCTTATAGTTGATGTGTTATTTTAAATATTTAAAAGTAACGCGCAAGGCTCAGTACCTTAGCAAAAATAACAAGAATCTTTTGCGGCACTACTTATGTAATGACGACTGTTAAAAATATAAGAAGATATTTATAATTTTTATTATGCGCCTCGCGAATTGTTGATAAATTGAATTGTATCTGACGACATAACAAATTTCGAGAACATTTGTTACCAAGTAGAATGTCGCGAATACTTCTGCACGAGAGTTGTAAACTAATGACGTAATTTAGGATTCGATACATTATATTTGCCCTGTGCAGTATAAAGGAAAAACTTTTTTTGAAAATAAGGAATTTGAACTAGATGAATATTACAAATGAATTGATAGTGTAATTAACATTTCGGAAAAGCGGGATTAGGAAATGTTTTTCTTGTACAATCACGGAGATAAAAGTTGATATAGTTATTCTTTACATATTGTGATATAACTGATATTTAAATAAAAAAGTTGATTTTACGAAATTTTCAGATGATTCGATATCGAATTATTTCCATAAAGTATCGAAATAATGTGTGTCATCTTTTATATTCGTGATTACACATGTTTGTCACGTGCGATGGAATACGAATGTTCGCCGATATTCAACATCATCTTATATATATAATTTGTGTTTTGTTATATTTCACAAATTATTAGTTGTACATTGGCAGGATCGACTTGCTAACTACATAGAGTTAGTATTTATTACGCAAAAAATATATACACAATATTGTCAAATTAAAATATATATAATGTCAGATATATGTATATGTATATATATTGATATATGTATATGTATATATATCTGATATAGATATAATATATCTGATATATGTATCTGATATATCAAATTAAAATATGTATACATGATATTCGTCAACACATTTTAATTTAACTTACAATATCTTTTACAATTATATTATTCTTTACAATTTGACCATCTGTTAACGTATTTTTCTGAAATGTATTGATACATATTGTGTATACAAATATATGTATATTTATAAATTAGTAATTCCACATACACATACACACATGGCGTTAGTCCTACTATTTTACAAATCTTACATATATCTAGCATGTTTATGAAATTTTTATTTATAATTGCCGTACAAAAATACGTGTCCCATTACATGTATAAAGGCATTGTTTATAAATATTTACTTTTATAAACATGTCCTTTAAGAAGTTTATAATTCATTTTCAATCTTTATAAAAGGAAACATTTTCTTTTACAAATATCTCTTTACATGAATTACATAAAACAATACATTAAAACAATATGAATATGTCATCTAACAATCTATTCATAATTCTATTTACAATATTGTTATCGAAATGATATTACAGACGTATACTAAAATTTCGAAACTCTTTGAGGGCAACAAAAATGTTTTATTATTTATTATCATTACAATCTCTTAAAAATAGTTAAATAATTATTACGATAAGATGCACCACCGGTTTCGAAATCTGCATATGGTCTATTGGATTTAAAACAATTTTCTCCGTGGTATAAAAGATATAGGACATTACATAAAGGTGGCTGTAGAATATTGCTGATTTTCTGTAGATTTTGTTGAGCTTTATGTTGTGATTTGGCGGTTAAAAATAACGGACATTGTTGATGTTTTATTTTTAAAATTAATTGCGGTAATGCCACCCAATCAGTAAAATCTACTTGATATCCTATAACTATATCTGGTTGTTTATAACACTCGCTCTCTACATAATTGTGATAAAACATACCATAAGTTTCGACTTTGAGACTTTGTCGGAAGCATCTTACAGTACAAAGTTTGACGTCTGCACTTTGATTACCAAGTACTGATCCTATCAAGATAATTGTCAATTCTTTTACGTTAGGTAAAAGATGAACAAGAAGTTCAAAAGCTGGTAAGTAATCTACATCAATCGATTTTGCGCCTATTATATGAATAACAAAACACGTATCTAGTTTATGGAAACAATCTAATCCATATAATTGCCGTATCCCACAATATAAGGTCAACGGGCCTGATGCGTAATCAGAATAAAAAAGAGACAAATTATACCAGATAGAGTGATGTTCATCATTCCAGTATTTTGATAACACAAATTTACGAACAAATGTATCCATGTCATTAGCAGGCTTGTCATCATTGGGAAAATCTATGAATCTGTCTAATACTATTGGATTGAAAAAGATAATCGTATTTGTCCAGAGGCATAAGTACAACTTGTCACAACTACTGTTATGACGGTTTCCCAATAGCTCTTTATGATTATGACAATAGTTCATGGAATGGCATTCCCGGCAATAAAGGAGGAGCTTATCCTGTCGAAAACAAATAATACACGATTTTGCTAATGTGATCATTTGCTCTTCGTATGGCTGTAGTTTACGTTGCAATTCCAGCTTGACCAAATATAAAAGTTGATTTCTCGTCTGAACCCATCTCTCTGCGTTTATTCCATATGTGGACCAAAGTTCTGGGTGACTTGTTAAAATGTTTTGTAAAACTGCACAAATCTGCATATGACTCTTGTTGTTCTTTAATTTGTGATCCATGCTGCAGTAAGAAATCATGTTGCACTGACCACAGGTTATGAACATTTCACTCAATTTGTGTGGTTTCTTGCAGAAGTGACAAATATTCGGGTTGAAGAAATCATAGTTTTTAGATAACACTGGTTTCTGGGAAGCCGACATATCGATGCCGAGTATCAACAGCGTACCGAATGTAACAGCTGATTGCTCATGAGTTTTTGTAACGTCGATTTATAAGTAACGCGCAAAGTCTAGTACTTTAGTATAAATAGCAATATTCTCTTTGGACACTTCTTATGTAATGATGATTATTACAACTCTTAGTGTTTAAAGGACACTAAGAAGATATTTACAATTTTTTCTACGTGTCTTGCGAATTGTTGACAAGAAGAGTTATATTTGAAGATATAAGAAACTTTGAAAACTTTCGTTACCAAGTAGAATGTCGCGAATAATTCTCTACGAGTTTTATGACATTACTTATGATTCAATATATTATATTTGCTTTGTACGGAAATGAAGAAGGAACCGCTTGTGGAAAAAAGTAAATTTGCAAAATATTATATTAATATTACCAATAAAACAGTATAATTAACGTTGCGAGAAAACGGGGTTATTAAATTTAATTAATCTTAATTTTGTATGATCACAGATATATAAATTGGCACAATTTTTCTTTAGACTTCGCGACATATCCGATTTTTTGTAACAGAAATTTATGTATTTATAACATATCTATTATCTAGTCATAACTATATTTATATAATTAGTAATATGTATCTGTTAAAATAGTTCAGTAATCTATTTAAATTAATTTTATAATTAGTCAACTTTAATCGTTTATAATTTGAAAAGTATTATAGCCTCGCCATTTTTGCATTAGGATTTTTTTATTTAAATTACTTAAGAAATCCGCCATTAAAAGATAATGCGGTAGTGGCGGAACACTTTGTATACACAATATTGTTAAATTAAAATATATATAATATTAGATACATGTATATGTCAAATTAAAATATATATAAATATTATTTGTTAGCACATTTTAATTTAACTTATAATATATTTTACAACTATATCATTCTTTTACAATTGGACCGTCTATTAATGTGTCTTTCTGAAATGTTCTAATATGTACAATGTATGAAAATATATGTATATTTCTATATTAGTAATTCCATACACACATATCATTAGTCTTATTATTTTACAAATTTTATATATACCTAGTATGTTTATGAAATTCTTATTCACAATTGCTGTATAAAAATACGTCCCCTATTACATGTATAAAAGCATTATTTATAAATATTTACTTTTATAAACATGTCTTTTAAGAAGTTTATAATTCATTTTAAATCTTTATAAAAAGAAATATTTTCTTTTATATATATCTCTTTACATGAATTATTAATCCATTAAAACAGTATGAATGTGTCGTCTAATATTCATAATTCTATTTACAATGGTTTTATCGAAATAATATTACAGACGTATACAGAAATTTCAAAACTCCTTGAGAGCAACAAAAATGTTCTATTATAAATTACCATTACAAGTTTTTAAAAACAGATAAATAATTATTACGATAAGATACATCACCGGTCTCGAAATCTTCGTATGGTCTAAGGGAACGAAAATTATTTTTGTCATTGTATAAAAGAGATAGGATATTCAATGAAGATAGCTGTAACATTTCGTTGATCTTAAATAGATTCTGTTGGGCTTTATCTTTCGATTTAGAAGTTAAAAGAAACGGACATTGTTGACGTTTTATTTTTAAAATTATTTTCGGTAATGCCTCCAAATCACTCAAATCTACTTGAAATCCTATAATTACATCTGGTCGCTTATAACACTTGCTGCGTACATACTTGTGATATAACATACGATGAGTTTCGAAGTTAAGATTTTGTCGGACGCATCTTAAAGTACAAAGCGTGACATTTCCACTTTCGTTACATAATATTGATCCTATGAATATAATTGTCAATGTCGTTACGTTAGGTAAAAGATGTAGAAGAAGTTCCCAAGCTGGTAAGTAATCCACATCAAGGAATTTTACGTCTATTATATGAATAACCAAACGCGATTTTAATTTATGAAAAAAACGTAATCCTTCTATTTTCAGTATCCCATAATATAAGGTCAACGGTCCCGATGCGTAATCAGAATAATAAAGACATATACTATACCAGACAGAGGAAGTTTCATCCACCTCGTATTTCGAATACACAAATTCATCAACAAATGCATCCATATTATCAACAGGTTGGTCATTATTGGGAAACTCTGTGAATCTGTCCATCACTATTGGATACAAACTTATGTCCGTATTTGTCCAGAGGCATAATTTCAACTTGTCACAATTAAAAAAATGACGGAAAAGGTTTTGATGCTCACTGCAATAGTTACAGGAATTACACTCCCGGCAATAACCTGTGAGTTTAATCTGTCGATAACAAATAATGCATGATTTTGCTAATGTGATCATTTGCACTTCATATGGTTTTAGATCACGCTGCAACTCCAGCTTGACTAAATGCATTAAGTCTTTTCTCGTCTGGACCCATTGCTCCAAGTTTATTCCACATGTGGACCAAAGATGTGGGTAACTCCATAAAATTTTTTGGAAAGCTATACAAATTTGCATATGACACTTCTTGTTCGTTATTCTGTGAGTCTCGCTACAGTAAGAAATCATGTGGCACTGATAACAGGTTTGAAAATCCTCACCAAATGACCATGGCATCTTGCAAACGTGACAAATATTTGGGTTGAAGAAATCATAGTTTTTCGATAACACTGGTCTCGGGAATTCATCGCTTTTAGATAACACTGGTCCCGGGATATTATGGGTGTCAGGTGACGTTAGTCTCGGGATATTATGGATGTTAGGTATCATTGGTCTCGGAACATTATGGATGTTAGGTAACATTGGTTTTGGGACATTATGGATGTTAGGTACCATTTGTCTCGGGAAATTATCGTTGTTAGGTAACATTGGTCTCGGCAAATTATAGTCGTTAAGTAACATTAGTCTCGGGAAGTTATTGGTGTTAAGTAATATTAGTCTCGGGGGATTATTGGTGTTAGGTAACGTTGGTCCCGGGAAATGAAACATATCGATATTGAGTATTAGCAGCTACCGATTGTAATAGCTGATTGCTAATGCGTTATTTGTAATATCGACTTATAAGCAACGCGCGAAGTCCAGTACTTTAACAGAAGTAACTACATTCTCTTTGGATACTTCTTATGTAATGATAACTGTTAAAGCTTTCAGTATTTAAAGATCACTAAGAAGGTATTTACAATTTTTTCTACGCATCTTCCGAATTGTTGACAAAAGGAGTTATATCTGAAGATATAAGAAACTTTGAAAACATTCGTTACCAAATAGAATGTCGCGAATAATTCTCTACGAGTTTTATAATGTAACATATAATTCGATATATTATATTTGCTTTGTACAAAAATGAAGGAAAAACCGCTTGTGAAAAAAGTGAGTTTGCAAAATATTATATTAATATTACCAACAAAACAATATAATTAACGTTATGAAAAAGCGGGGTTAGTAAATATTTTACTTTTTGTGTAATCATAGATTTATAGGTTGGCACAGTTTTTTTTTAGACTTCGCATATCCGATTTTTTGTAACAAAAATTTATATTGAAAAATTTTCAGATGATGCGATGTTGGATTCTTTCTGGAAAATATCGAAAGAATGTCATTATTAATATACGTGATTATACGTGTTCATCACAACACATTCGATGGAATACATATGTCTTGATTGATATTCAATATTATTTCATATATATTATAATAATTTGTACGTTATTATATTTAACAGATTATTATTTCTACATTAGCCTAGTCGACTTGCTGACTGCATAGAGTTTCAATTTATTACACAAGTAATATATAGACAATATTGTCAAATTAGAATATGTATAACTTATATTCGTCAGCACACTTTAATTTAACTTAGAATATCTTTTACAATTTTATCATCTGTTAATATGTCTTCCTGAAATGTACTGTGTTTATATATGTATATTTTTAAATAGATAATTCTGTAATATTAGTTATACTATTTTACAATCTTATGAATCTAACATGTTGCTAAAATTTTTATTCGCGATTGCCGTACAAAAATGCAAGTTCGATGTATAAAAGCATTCTTTATTATAAAGCAAACATTTTCTTTTACAGATATCTTTTTACACGAATCTGGAATTCATTAACGTAACATTGGTAATTTATATACATTAAAAAAAATTTTAAATATAGCATTAAAATATAACAAACACTAAAAAACATCAATGTACATTAAAATAATTTAGTTGTTCATTAAAACAATATGTATATATCATCTAATAATCTATTCGTTATCCATGATTCTATTTACAATAGTGTTAAAAAAATAATATATTAGAAAAATTATTATAAAAATAATATAATATATAATATATATATAATATATATAATATATATAATATATAATATATAATATATAATAATATATAATATAATATATATTATATATATATATATAATATATATATATTAATATATATATATATATATATATATATATTAATATATATATATGTATATATTAATATATATATATATTTATTTATGATATATATTATATATATATATAATATATAATATTATTATTATAAAAATTTCGAAACTCTTTGAAAGCAACAAATATGTTCTATAATTTATTACTGTTATAATTTCTTATAAACAGTTAAGTACATATTACGATAAGATACAGCACAGTTCTCGAAATCATTGTATGGTTTAGTGGAACTAAATTTATTTTTGTCGTTATATACAAGATATAGAATATCACATATAGGTGACTTTAGGATTTGTTTGATCTTATTTACATTCTGTTTGGCTTTATATTTTGATTTGGAAGTTAAAAGAAACGGACATTCTTGATCTTTTATTTTTAAAATCACTTCCGATGATGCCTCCCAATTACTAAGATCTGCTTGAAATCCAATAATTAGATTTGGTTGCTTATAAAACTCGCTGTCTACATACTCGTGATATAACATATGATGAGCTTCGAAGTTAAGTTGCCGTTCGACGCATTTTAAAGTACAAAGCATGAGATCTCCATTTTCGATATGTAATTCTGGCCCTATCAGAATAATTTTCAATTCTTTTATATTTGGTAAAAGATGCAGAAGAAGTTCCCATGCTAATATATATTTTCTATCAACAAAATTTGCTTCTATTATATGAATAACAAAATACGAATCTGATTTATCAAAAAAATCTAATGTATTTATTTTCTGTATCCCATAATGTGAGGTCAACGGTCCTGACACGTAATCAGAATAATGAAGACACATTATTTTATCCCCGATAAAGTTGGTATCATCTATGTGATATTTTGGACACACAAACTGATCCATAAATGCCTTCATGCAGTTAACATTATACTTGTTCTCATCTGGAAACTCTGAGAATCTGTCTGTTGCTACTGTGAATACAAATAAAGTCATATTTATCCAGAGACATTCTTTCAACTTCTTGCAATAGAATCTATGACGGTTTCCCAATAGTTTTTTATGATCACGGCAATAGTTAACAGAAAAGCACTTAAGGCAATGAAGGAGGTTCGTCTGCCGATAACAAATAATGCACGATTTTGCTAATGTAATCATTTGCATTTCATATGGTTCTAGAACACGTTGCAAATCCAGCTTAACTAAACGCATAAGCTGTTTTCTCGTCTGAATCCATTCCTCTAAGTTTATTCCATAAGTGGACCAAAGTTGCGGGTGGCTTTGCGAAACGTTTTGCAGAGCTTTACAAATCTGCACATGACGTTTGTTCTTTGATTTGTGATTTTTGCTGCAGTAATAAATCATATGACACAGATCACAGGTTATATAATTATCATTACGTTCCCATGGCTTCTTGCAAACGTGACAAATATTCGGCCCGAAAAATTTATCGATTGAAGTTTCCGAGAATACATGCTTTAAGAAAATACTCATACTGACATTTGTGTGCAATGGGTTATTCCTGATATGTTGCTTGTAAAGTTAATTTCGAAGTAACGCGCAAAGTTCAGTATCTTTACAAAAATAACAAGATTCTCTTTGGACACTTCTTATGTAGTGGTGAGTGTTCGAAAGGCACTAAGAAGATACATTTTTTTCTATGCGTCCCGCGAATTGTTGACATTGAATTGAATTGAGTTATATCTGACGACGTAACAAATTTCGAGAACATTCAATTTCTATGTAGAATATCGCGAATAATTCTATACATATAATAATTCTATATTCTAAATAATACGAGATTTGCAAATTAATGACATAACTTAGGATTTGGTATATTATATTTGTCTTGTGCGACATGGAGGAAAAATCCTTTATGGCAGAAAAAAAATTTGCATGATATATTAATATTACCAACAAAATTATAGTGTAAATAATGTTTCGAAAAAGCGGACTTAGGAAATGTTTTTCATCACGGAGATGAAAATTCACACAGTTTTTCTTTACATTTTATATGCAATCTGTTACAACCGATTTTTCAATAAAAAGAAATTGATTTTGAGAAATTCTCAAATGATCGAATGTCGAATTATTTCCAAAACGAATCGAAAAAATGTGTTATACATGTACATTTCTAAATTAGTAATTCCTTATCCTATGCAGCACAAATCTTAAAAAGACGTTCTAAGGACATTCTAAGGACATTCATACATCCTAAGAACGTCCCAGAATATTGTCTGAAGATTTTGTGCTATCTGGGATCATTAGTCCTACTATTTTACAAATCTTATATATACTTTGCATGTTTATGAAATTTTTATTAATAATTGTCGTACAAAAATGCGTGTCCCGCTACATATACAAAAATATTTATTATAAAGATTTACTTTTACAAACATGTTTTATAACAAGTTTATAATTCACTTCTAATCTTTATAAAAAAATCATTTTCTTTTACAAATATCTCTTTACATAAATTATTAATCCATTAAAGCAATTTATGTATATGTCGTCTAACAATTTATTCATAATTCTATTTTCAATGGTATTATCGAAACGATATTACAAACGTATACGGAAATTTCGAAATTCTCTGAGGTCAACGAAAATGTTCTATTATTTATTACTACTACAATTTCTTATAAACAGTTAAATATTTATTACGATAAGATGCACCAGCAGTCTCGTAATCTTCGTATGGTCTATTGGAATTAAAATTATTTTTTCCGTTGTATAAAAGATATAGGATATTACATATAGCTGACTGTAGGATTTCATTGATATTATTCTGTCCGATTTTATCTTTCGATTTAGAGGTTAAAAGAAACGAACATTCTTGACACTTTATTCTTAAAATTATTTCCGATAATGCCTCTTAATCACTCAAATCTACTTAAAATCCTATAATTACATCTGGTCACTTGTAATACTTGCTGTCTACATACGTGTGATATAGCATACGATGAAATTCGAACTTAAGACATTGTTGGAAGCATCTTATATCACAAACCATGAGATCTCCACTTTCGGTACGTAATACCGGTCCTATCAAGATAATTTTCAATTCTTTTACGTTAGGTAAAAGATGCAGAAGAAGTTCCCTCTCTGAAATAAACTTGTTTGTTTATATATATATTTTTTTAAATTCGTAATTTCATAACATAAGTAACATAACATAAGTAACATAACATAAGTAACATAACATAAATAACATAACCTAAGTAACATAACATAAGTAACATAACATAAGTAACATTAGTTATAGTATTATATAAATCTTATAAACATGCATGTTATATTTTATGGCATGTTCCTAAAATTTTTATTCGCAATTGCCATACAAAAATGCAAGTTCCTTTACATATATAAAAGAATTTTTTATAAACATTTTTTGTTGCAGAGATGTCTTTAAAGAAGTTTATAATTCATTCTTAATGTTTAAAAAAGATAGCGTTTTTTTACACATATTTTGTTATATAAATCGTTAATTTATTAATACAATATGTATGTATATCACCTAATAATCTATTCACATTGAGAGCAACAAAAATGTTCTATAATTTATTATCATTAGAATCTTTCATAAACAGTTAAATACTTATTACGATAAGATACTCCAGCGGTTTCGACATCTTGGTATGGTCTATTGGATTTAAAATTATTTTTGCTGTTGTATACAAGATATAGAACATCACATATAGGTGACTTTAGGATTTCTTTGATCTTATTTACATTCTGTTTGGCTTTATCTTTCGAGTTGGAGGTTATAAGAAACGGACATTCTTGAGCTTTTATTTTTAAAATTATTTCCGATAATGCCTCCCAATCACTCAAATCTACTTGAAATCCTATAATTACATCTGGTCGCTTATAACACTTGCTGTCTACATAATTGTGATATAACATGCGATGAGCTTCGAAATTAAGACGCTGTTGGACGCATCTTATAGTACAAACCCTGAGACCGTTACTTTTGGTACATAATTCTGGCCCTATCAGAATAATTTTCAATTCTTTTACGTTAGGTAAAAGATGCAGAAGAAGTTCCCAAGCTGATAAGTAATCTATATCAACGAAGTTTGCACCTATTATATGAATAACAAGGCACGATTCTAGTTTATGAAAATAATTGAATCTATTTATTTTCTGTATCCCATCATATAAAGTCAACGGTCCTGACGCGTAATCAGAGTAATAAAGACATATACTACACCCGACAGAGGTAATTTCATCTATCCAGTGTGTTGGACACACATATTGATTAACAAACGCTTTCATATCAACAGTAAGTTTGTTCTCAGTGGGAAACTCTGTGAAAATGTCTATTATTATTGGATATAAATGCATATCTCGATTTGTCGAAAGGCATAATTTCAACTTGTTGCAATTAACACGATGACGATTTCCCAAGAGCTTTTTATGATTACGACAATAGTTAATGGAATGGCACTTAGGGCAACAAAGGAGATTATCCTGTCGATAACAAATAATGCATGATTTTGCTAATGTGATCATTTGCTCTTCATATGGTTGTAGATCACGTTGCAATGCCAGCTTGACCAAACGTATAAACTGTTTTCTCGTCTGAATCCATTCCTCCAAGTTTATTCCTAATGTGGACCAAAAATATGGGTGACTCCTTGAAACGTTTTGCAAAGCTGCACAAATTTGCATATGACTCTCGTTGTTCCTTGATTTGTGATACATGGTGCAGTAAGAAATCATGTGGCACTGATCACAGGTTATAAAATTAAGGTGCCATGGCGTCTTACAAAAGTGACAAATATTCGGGTTGAAGAAATCATATGCAGGTCCCAAAAATTGCGACATATCGATGCTGAATATCAGCACCGTGCTGATTGTAACAGTTGATAGCTGATGAGTTATTTGTTGTATCAATTTATAAGTAACGCACGAAGTTCAGTACTTAGCAGAAATAACAACATTCTCTTTGGAAATTTCTTATGTAATGATAACTGTTAAAACTTTTAGTGGTTAAAGAACACTAAGAAGATACTTACAATTCTTTCTATGCGTCTTGCGATTTGTTGACAAAAAGAGTTGTATCTGAAAATATATAAAAACTACGAAAACAATTGTTACTAAGTAGAACATCGCGAATAATTCTCTACGAGTTTTATGACGTAATTCATGATTCGATACGTTATATCTGCTTCGTGCAATATGAAGAGAAAACTTGTAAGAAAAAAGGAATTTGCAAAATATATTAATATTACCAACACAATCATAGTATAATTAACGTTATAAAAAAGCTGAGTTAGGAAATATTTTACTTTTTGTACGATCATAGAAATAAAGATTGGTTGAAATAAAGGTTTTCTTTAAATCTCGTGGCATAATCGATTGTTAGTAAAAGAAACTTGCTCGTGGAAATTTTTAGATAATGGGATAGATAGTCGAATTCTTTTTAGAAAGTATTGAAAGAATATCATTTATATCCGCGATTATACGTGTTCGTTACAACACATAGAATGGAATACATATGTCTTGACTAATATATTCAATATTATCTTATATATAATTTGTATTTTATTATATTTAACTGATTATTATTTCCACATTAGCTTGGCTACATAGACATTAATTTATTACAGAATTAATATATACGCACTATTGTCAATTTAGAATATGTATAACTTACTATCTGTTAATATGTCTCCCAGAAATGTACTGTGTTTATATATGTATATTTTTAAATTGGTAATTATATATGTAACATTAGTTATAATATTATATAAATCTTATAAATTAGCATGTTCCTAAAATTTTTATTCACAATTGCCGTACAAAAATGCAAGTCCAATTACATATATAAAAGCGTATTTTTATAAACATTTTCTTTTACAGACATGTCTTTAAAGAAGTTTGTAATTCATTCTTAACCTTTAAAAAAGAAAACGTTTTTTATACATATTTTGTTATATGAATTGTTAATTTATTAATACCATATGTATATCCCTTATAGAAATATCATACTAAGAATCATTGATAATTACTTATTATTCAGTATTTTTAATACTGAAAATAAGTAATTATCAATGATTCTTAGTATGATATTTCTATAAGGGATATCGCCTAATAATCTATTCATTATCCATAATTCTATTTACAATGGTATTATCAAAATAATATTATAGACGTATACGGAAATTTCAAAACTCATTGAGTTCAACAAAAACGTTCTAAAATTTATTATTATTATAATCTTTCATAAACAGTTAAATAGTTATTACGATAAGATACACCAGCAGTCTCGAAATCTTGGTATGGTCTATTGGATTTAAAATTATTTTTGCTGTTATATACAAGATATAGATATAGAACATCATATATAGGTGACTCTAGGATTTCTTTGATTTTATTTACATTCTGTTTGGCTTTATCTTTCGATTTGGAGGTTAAAAGAAACGGACATCCTTGATCCTTTATTTTTAAAAGCATTTCCGATAATGCCTGAAAATCACTCAAATCTACTTGAAATCCTATAATTATATCTGGTTTGTTATAATACTCGCTGTCTACATAATTGTGATATAACATACGATGAGCTTCAAAGATAAGACGCTGTTGGACGCATTTTATAGTACAAACCGGGAGATTGTTACTTTCGGTACGTAATTCTGGCCCTATCAGAATAATTTTCAATTTTGTTACATTAGGTAGAAGATGCAGAAGAAGTTCCCAAGCTGGTAAGTAATCTCTATCAACCAAGTTTGCGTCTATTATATGAATAACAAGATACGATTTTAGTTTATGAAAATGATTGAATCCATTTATTTTCTCTATTCCATCATATAAGGTCAACGGTCCTGATGCGTAATCAGAATAATAATGACATATACTACATCCGACAGAGGAAATTTCATCTATCTCGTGTGTTGGATACACATATTGACGAATAAACGCATTCATATCAACAGTAAGTTTGTTCTCAGTGGGAAACTCTGTGAAAATGTCTATTATTATTGGATATAAATGTATATCCGCATTTGTCGAGAGGCATAATTTCAACTTGTTGCAATTAATACGATGCCGATTTCCCAATAGCTGTTTATGATTACGACAATAGTTAATGGAATGGCATTCCAGGCAATGAAGGAGACGATTCTGTCGATAACAAATAATGCACGATTTTGCTAATATGATCATTTGTTTTTCATATGGTTCTAAATCACGTTGCAATTCCAGCTTTATCAAACGTATAACGTCTTTTCTTGTTTGAACCCATTCCTCCAAGTTTATTCCAAAAGTGGACCAAAAATGTGGGTGACTCCTCGAAACCTTTTGCATAGCTGCACAAATTTGCATATGACTCTCCTTGTTCCTTAATTTGTGATCCATGCTGCAGTAAGAAATCATATAGCACTGATCACAGGTTATAAAATTCCCATTAAATTGCCATGGTGTCTTGCAAAAGTGACAAATATTCGGGTTGAAGAAATCATATTCAGGTAACACTGGCTCCGGAATAAGAACTTGCGACATATCGATCCTGAATATCAACAGCGTACCGACTGTGACAGCTGATAGCATGACGTGTTATTTGTATCGGTTTATAAGTAACGCGCGAAGTTCAACACTTTAGCAGAAATAATAACACTCTGTTTGGATATTTCTTATGTAATAACTGTTAAAATTCTTAGTAGTTAAAGAACACTAAGAAGATACTTTCAATTCTTTCTATGCGTCTTGCGAATTGTTGACAAAAAGAGTTATATTTGAAGATATAAAAAACTACGAAAACAATTGTTACTAATTTGAATGTCGCGAATAATTCTCTATCAGTTTTAAGAGGTAACTTATGATTCGATACGTTATATTTGCTTTGTGCAGTATTAAGAAAAACGCGCTTGTGGGAGAAAAGGAATTTGCAAAATATTATATTAATATTACCAACGTACTATTAATATTACAAACGTAATATTAATATTACAAACATAGTTAACGTTACGATAAAGCTGAGTTAGGAAATATTTTATTTTTTGTATAATCACGGAAAAAAAGTTTTGCAATTTTCTTTAGATTTATGGTATAACCGATTATCAGTAAAAGAAATTTATTTCGAAAAATTTTCAGATAATGGGATGTCGAATTCTATCTGGAAAGTATCGAAAGAATATCATTATTTATATCCGTGATTATACGTGTTTATCACAACATGTAGGATGGAATACATACGTCCTGACTGATAATATTATTTTATATATAATTTATATTTTATTATGTTTAACAGATTATTATTTCTACATTAAGCTGGCTACACATAGACTTCAATTTATTACAGAATTAAGATATACACACTATTATCAAATTACAATTTACTTATATTCTTTCTCTCTCTCTCTCTCGTGAGCACACTTTAATTTTACATAGAATATTTTTGACAATTTTACTATCTGTTAACATGCCTTCCTGAAATACTGTGTTTATATACATATACTTTTAAATTGGTAATTCTATGGTATTAGTCATACTATTTTACAAATCTTATATCTTATATCTTATATCTTATATCTTATATCTAGCATGTTCCCAAAATTTTTATTCGCAATTGTACAAAAATGCAAGTTTCATTACATAAATAAAAACGTCCTTTATAAACATTTTCTTTTATATCGCTTAATAATCAATTTATTATCCATAATTTTATTTACAATAGTATTATCAAAATATTATTATAGACATATGCGGAAATTTCAAAACTCATTGAAAACAACAGAACGTTGTATAATTTATTATCATAACAATTTTTGATAAACAGTTAAATACTTATTACGATAAGACATGTCAGCGGTCTCGAAATCTTGATATGATCTATTGGATTTAAAATTATTTTCGTCGTTGTATACAAGATATAGAATATCACTTACAGCTCTAGTAGTCTTTAGTATTTCTTTGATCTTATTTTTATTCTGTTCGGCTTTATCTTTCGATTTGGAGGTTAAAAGAAATGGACATCCTTGATTCTTTATTTTTAAAAACATTTCCGATAATGCTTGAAAATCATTCAAATCAACTTGAAATCCTATAATTGCATCTGGTGGCTTGTAACACTCGCTGTCTACATACTCGTGATATAACATACGATGAGCTTCGAAGTTAAGTTGCCGTTGGACGCATTTTATAGTACAAACCGGGAGATCGTTACTTTCGGTACGTAATTCTAGCCCTATCAGAATAATTTTCAATTCCTTTATGTTAGGTAAAAGATGCAGAAGAAGTTCCCAAGCTGATAAGTAATCTTTATCAACGAAATTTGCGTCTATTATATGAATAACAAGACACGATTTTAATTTATAAAAACCTAGTCTATTTATTTTCTGTATCCCATCATATAAAGTCAACGGTCCTGATGCGTAATCAGAGTAATAAAGACATATACTACACCCGACAGAGGAAACTTCATCCATCCAGTGTGTTGGATACACATATTGATCAACAAACGCATTCATATTAACAGTAAGTTTGTTCTCAGTGGGAAACTTTGTGAAAATGTCTATTACTATTGGATATAAATGCATATCTACATTTGTCGAAAGGCATAATTTCAACTTGTTGCAATTAACACGATGACGATTTCCCAATAGCCTTTTATGATTACGACAATAGTTAATGGAATGGCACTTAGGGCAACGAAGGAGACGATTCTGTCGATAACAAATAATGCACGATTTTGCTAATGTGATCATTTGTTTTTCATATGGTTCTAAATCACGTTGCAACTCCAGCTTGGTCAAACGTATAACGTCTTTTCTTGTTTGAACCCATTCCTCCAAACTTATGTCAAAAGTGGACCAATAATGTGGATGACTCCTTGAAACCTTTTGCATAGCTGCACAAATTTGCATATGACTCTCCTTGTTCCTTAATTTGTGATCCACGCTGCAGTAAGAAATCATATGGCACTGATCACAGATTATAAAACTCCCATTAAATTGCCATGGCGTCTTGCAAAGGTGACAAATATTTGGGTTGAAGAAATTATATTGAGGTAACACTGGCTCCGGAGTAAGAATTTGCGACATATCGATGCTGAATATCAATAGCGTACCGACTGTGACAGCTGATAGCATGACGTGTTATTTGTATCGGTTTATAAGTAACGCGCGAAGTTCAACACTTTAGCAGAAATAATAACACTCTGTTTGGATATTTCTTATGTAATGACTGTTAAAATTCTTAGTAGTTAAAGAATACTAAGAAGAACTTTCAATTCTTTCTATGCGTCTTGCGAATTGTTGACAAAAAGAGTTATATTTGAAGATATAAAAAACTACGAAAACAATTATTACTAAGTTGAATGTCGCGAATAATTCTCTATCAGTTTTAAGAGGTAACTTATGATTCGATACGTTATATTTGCTTTGTGCAGTATTAAGAAAAACGCGCTTGTGGGAGAAAAGGAATTTGCAAAATATTATATTAATATTACCAACGCAATCATAGTAAACGTTACGAAAAAGCTGAGTTAGGAAATATTTTATTTTTTGTATAATCACAGAAGAAAAGTTTTGCAATTATCTTTAGATTTCGTGGTATAATCGATTATCAGTAAAAGAAATTTATTTCGAAAAATTTTCAGATAATGGGATGTCGAATTCTATCTGGAAAGTATCGAAAGAATATCATTATTTATATCCGTGATTATATGTGTTTATCACAACATATAAGATGGAATACATACGTTTTGACTGATAATATTATTTTATATATAATTTATATTTTATTATATTTAACAGATTATTATTTCTACATTAACCTGGCTACATAGACTTCAATTTATTACAGAATTAAGATATACGCACTATTATCAAATTACAATTTACTTATATTCTTTCTCTCTCTCTCTCTCGTGAGCACACTTTAATTTTACATAGAATATTTTTGACAATTTTACTATCTGTTAACATGCTTTCCTGAAATACTGTGTTTATATACATATACTTTTAAATTGGTAATTCCATGGTATTAGTCATACTATTTTACAAATCTTATATATCTAGCATGTTCCTAAAATTTTTATTCACAATTGTCGTACAAAAATGCAAGTTCCATTACATAAATAAAAACGTCCTTTATAAACATTTTCTTTTATATCGCTTAATAATCAATTTATTATCCATAATTCTATTTACAATAGTATTATCAAAATATTATTATAGACACATACGAAAATTTCAAAATTCATTGAAAAGAACAGAACGTTGTATAATTTATTATCATTACAATTTTTGATAAACAGTTAAATACTTATTACGGTAAAATATGTCAGCGGTCTCGAAATCTTGGAATGATCTATTGAATTTAAAATTATTTTCGCCGTTGTATACAAGATATAGAATATCATTTATAGTTGACTTTACTATTTCTTTGATCTTATTTATATTTTGTTCGGCTGTATCTTTCGATTTGGAGGATAAAGAAACGGACATTCTTGATCCTTTATTTTTAAAATTATTTCCGATAATGCCTCCCAATCACTCAAATCAACTTGAAATCCTATAATTACATCTGGTTGCTTGTAACATTTGCTGTCTACATACTCGTGATATAACATACGATGAGCTTCGAAGTTAAGTCGCCGTTGGACGCATTTTATAGTACAAACCATGAGATCATTACTTTCGGTAAGTAATTCTAGCCCTATCAGAATAATTTTCAATTCCTTTATGTTAGGTAAAAGATGTAGAAGAAGTTCCCAAGCTAATATGTATTTTCTATCGACGAAGTTTGCGTCTATTATATGAATAACAACATACGAATCTGGTTTATGAGTATCTAGTTTATGAAGAAAATCTAGTTTATAAAGAAAATCTAATACTTTTATCTTTTGTATCTCATAAAATAAAGTCAACGGTCCTGATGCGTAATCAGAATAAAAAATTTGGCTACTATAACACACAGTGATAGTATTACCTATGTATTTGGCTTAACAAAATGTTCAATAAATGTATCCATGTCAACAACAGCAGGTTTCTTATCGGAAAACTCTGCGAATCTGTCTATAGGTACTGGATATGAAGTCAAAACTACATTTTCCCAGAGACATAATTCCATCTTCTTGCAATAAAGTTTATGACGGTTTCCCAATAGGCTTTTATGCCTACAGGAAATATAGTTAATGGAATGGCACTCTGTGCAATGAAAGAGATTCATTTGTTGATAACAAATAAAGCACGATTTTGCTAATGTGATTATTTGCACTTCAAATGGTTCTAGATCACGTTGCAACTCCAGCTTGACTAAACGCATAAGATTTTTTCTCGTCTGAACCCATTGCTTCAAGTTCATTTTATATGTGCACCAAAATACTGGGTGACGTTTTGAAATGTTTTACAAAACTGCACATATCTGTATATGACGCTCGCTGCTCTCTAATTTGTGATCCTTACTGTAGTAAGAAATCATGTGGCACTGATCACAGGTTATGAAATCCTCATTACTTTTCTTGTAGCAAACGGGACAAGAATTTGGATTGAAGTATTTATCACTTAGAGGTACCGATAATTGTTGTAATTCATTCATACCGATTCGTAGGTCTAATGGATAATTACTGATATGTTGTTCGTAAAGTCAACTTCGAAGTAATGCGTGAAGTACAGTACGTTAGCAGAAATAACAAGATTCTCTTTGGACATTTCTTATGTAGTAGTGATTGCTCGAGGAATACTAAGAAGATACTTACAATTTTTTCTATGCGCCTTGCGAATGTTGATAAATTGATTTTTTTTAAATTTCGAGCACATTCGATTCTAGGTAGAATATCACGAATAATTATATAACAAATTTGTATTCTAATGACGTAACTTATGATTTGGTATATTATGCCTTGTGCAATATGAAGGAAAAACCGCTTATAAAAACGGAAGAATTTGCATGATATATTAATATTACCAATGAATTGATATGTATAATGTAGGTTTTGTAAAAGTGAAATTAGGAAATATTTTTCTTGTATAGTTACAGAGATAAAAGTTTTCACACAGTTTTTCTTTACAATTTATAACATCCCAGACAACATAATGTCTAAAATTGGGACATAGGAGGTCTTAGAGACCATCTTTAAGATGTCTTTCAGACGATTTACGTATAAATGTCTTTAAGCCGTCTTAAAGATTATCTTTAAGACGTCTTATGTCCGCATTTTAGACATTTTGTTGTCTGGGATAATTGACTTTTAACCTAAAAAATCGATTTTGCGAAATTTTCAGATGATTGGATGTCGAATTATTTCCGAAAAGTATCGAAAAAATATGTGTCATCATTTATATTCGTGATTATACGTGTTTGTCACAAATATGTACGATGAAATACATATATGTTGACCGATATTCAGTATCATTTTATTATATTATAACAAATTATTTTCTTATTTTATTATAACGAATTATTATTTGTATATTAGCGTGCCCTACTGACACACTATATAAAGTTTCGATTTATCAAGCAACTCATATATACGCAATATTGTTAAATTAAAATATGTATAATTTTTATGCGTGAGAACATTTTAATTTAATTTACAATATCTTTTACAATTTAATCATTTATTATTAATGTGTCTTCCTGAAATGTACTGTGATTATATACATATACTTTTAAAGTGGTAATTTCATGGTATTAGTCACACTATATTACAAATCTTGTATATCTAACATATTCTTGAGATTTTTATTCTCAATTGTCGTACAAAAATGCAAGTTCCATTACATATATAAAAGCATTCTTTATGAACATTTTCTTTTACGAATATCTCTTTATACAAATTAGTAATTTATTAAAACAATATGTATAATAATCGTCTAATAATCTACTGATTATCTATAATTTATATTGATGTTATCAAAATAATATTAGACATATATGGAAATTTCAAAACTCATTGAGGGGAACAAAAATGTTCTATAATGTAATTATCATTACAATCTTGCATAAACAGTTAAATACTTATTAAGATAAGATAAACCAGCGGTCTCGAAATCATGGTATGGTCTATTAGATTTAAGTTTATCCTCGCCGTTGTATATAAGATATAGAACATCAGTTATAGTCATTTATTATTAATGTGTCTTCCTGCAATGTACTGTGATTATATACATATACTTTTAAAGTGGTAATTTTAAAAGTAGTATTAGTCATACTATATTACAAATCTTGTATATCTAGCATTCTCTTAAGATTTTTATTCTCAATTGTCGTACAAAAATGCAAGTTCCATTACATACCCTTATAGAAATATCATACTAAGAATCATTGATAATTACTTATTTTCAGTATTAAAAATACTGGATAATAAGTAATTATCAATGATTCTTAGTATGATATTTGTATAAGGGATTATAAAAGCATTCTTTATAAATATTTTCTTTTACAAATATCTCTTTATACAAATTAGTAATTTATTAAAACAATATGTATAATAATCGTCTAATAATCTACTGATTATCTATAATTTTATTTATATTGATGTTATCTAAATAATATTAGACATATATGGAAATTTCAAAACTCATTGAAGGGAACAAAAATGTTCTATAATGTAATTATCATTACAATCTTGCATAAACAGTTAAATACTTATTAAGATAAGATAAACCACCAGTCTCGAAATCATGGTATGGTCTATTGGATTTAAATTTATTCTCGCCGTTGTATATAAGATATAGAACATCAGTTACAGTTGATTTTAGGATTTCTTTGATCTTATTTATATTCTGTTCGGCTTTATCTTTCGATTTGGAGGTTAAAAGAAACGGACATTCTTGAGCTTTTATTTTTAAAATTATTTCCGATAATGCCTCCCAATTACTCAAATCAACTTGAAATCCTACAATTATATCTGGTCGCTTATAATACTCGCTGTCTACATAATTGTGATATAACATACGATGAGTTTCGAAGTTGAGACGTTGTTGGGAGTATTTTGTAGGATGAAACTTGAGACTTTCGGTGGATAATTCTGAGCCTATCAGAATAATTTTCAATTCCTTTATGTTACGTAAAATATGTCTAAGTACTTGCCAAATTAATAGGTGATATCTATCAACAAAGTTTACATCTATTACATGAATAACAATATGCAAGTCTGGTGTATGGAAATCTAATCCAGTTATTTTTCGTATCCCATTATATAAGGTGAACGGTCCTGATAAATAATCAGAAAAATAATAGCCCTCGCTCAAGTTGAACTTGGGGAAGTCGACCACGTGGTTTGCATACATATATTTTTCAATAAATGTATCCATGTCACGAGGAAAATTGCTTGGGGGAAAATCTTCGAGTAGTACGTGAGTTAGTGATGTAAATGATTCCAAAGTTATATATGAAGATAGATGTGTATCTACCCTGTAATATTCTGACAAAATATTGCAATTGAATTTATGACGGTTTCCTAATAGCTTTTCATGATCCTTGCAATAGTTAATGGAATAGCATTGCGGACAAGAGAGGAGATTATCCTGTCGATAACAAATAGCGCATGATTTTGCTAATGTAATTATTTGCACTTCATGTGGTTTTAGATCACGTTGCAACTCTAGCTTTACCAAACACATAAACTGTTTTCTCGTCCGTACCCATTTCTCCAAGGTTAGTCCATATGTGTGCCAAAATTGTGGGTGACTCTTTAAAACGTTTCGCAAAGCTACGCAAATCTCCTTGTGATTCTGTCTGTCGGTGAATAAGTGGTCGCAGCAGTAAGAAATCATGTGGCACTGTTTACAGATTAAGCTATACTTTTTATATACCTTGCAAATGTAACATACATTTGGGTTGAAGTATTTATCGACTGAAGGTAGTTCTTCCTCAAACATATAATACATGTCGATATGTAGACTTAATGCGTGATTGCTGATATGTCGTGCGCAAAGTCGTCTTCGAAGTAATGTGTGAAGCTCAGTACGTTGGCATAAATAACAAGATTCTTTTTGGATACTTGTTATGTAATGGTGAATATTGAAGGGCATTGAGAAGATATTTACAATTTTTTCATGCGTCTGCCAAATTGTTGACGAATTAAATTGTATCTGAAAATATAAGAAATTTCAAGAATATTCAATTCTAGGTAGAATGTCGTAAATAATTATATAACAAATTAGTATTCTAATGACGTAACTTATGATTCGATATATTACATTTGTCTTGTGCAATATGAAGGAAAAAGCGCTTTTGGGAAAAAAGGAATTTACATGATATTATATAAGTTTTATCAACGAAGTCGTAGTGTAAATAATGTTTCGAAAAAGCGGGCTTAGGAAATGTTTTTCTTGTACAATCATGCAGACAAAAGTTGACACAATTTTTCTTTACACTTTATGGCAACAGACTTTTAAGTAAAAACAATTGATTTTGCGGAATTCTCAGATGATTGGATGTCGAATTATTTCCAAAAAGTACCGAAAAAATGTGTGTAATCATTTATATTTGTGATTGTACGTGTTCGTCACAACACATACGATGAAATACATATGTTTTGTCCGATATTCTCTCTATATCATTTTATATATGATTTGTATTTGGTAAGGCGAATCTCTTAAATGCGGATATGCAGGTATGTCCTCTACCTGGATCAAGTCCCCTTCCGATATGACAGCGGGGTGGACCTCAGTCATCGTTGTTAGGTCGTAGGAGGTCATGGATGGAAACTCGTTAAATAAATCCCGCCATACTGTTACATGCCTCCGTCGTTAAGTCTCAGCAATCAGACATCAATTTACCGAAATTGACGCGCGTCGACGGCACGCGTGAATTATGCCGGCGAAAGAATCTCGATTCCCTTGATTTCCCTGCGCATTACGAAGGAAGAGATATTACAAATTCCTTCGCGCGAAGCACGCGGAAAAACGACTAGGAACTTTGTTGATATAATTTGACCGCGTCACACACAAACACAATATGCGTTCCAGTCAAAATTAAATTTTCTTCTTTGTAAGACGTTTTCGATCTCGCAACACGATTTTTCAGGTAATTTCTCGTCGGATATTTATGAGTCAGAGATACCGTTCTTCTTTTTTCCTTTTATCTTTATTTATTACATTTTATATTAATTAATTATAATTATATATATATATTATTTTTTATTTTTTATATATTATATATTATCTTATTACATATATATTATATATTTATTATTATTTTATAATAATTTATTTTATAATCAGGTGCTATAAATTCTCGACGATGTTGCGTTTCATTGGACAAAGGCTTTGTCTAACGCTTGATCCTTTTGGGAAAGCCCGAAAAGTCGATCGGATATATTACTCGAACGGTATTTCCATTGATTAAAACTCGGACATACTATTTCTCTCAGTGCAGGCTCGTATCATCCTATTACTCTTACTAATTGAATGCATTTCGTTAAGAGTCCGCGACCAATTAGAGCGTAATCTGCTTGGTAGAGAAGTCACGGGAAGGACACGCTGCACTCCGACGGATGCACTCGAGCTCTTCTCCGCGCTGCTGAGTGCAGCGGCTGCATTCTGCGCCGGTGGCGGTCACGAGGGCGCGAACTAGTTCGTGAATCATGCCTAGAATGCTTTACATAAATTGCTCGGGGCCGACGTCACGATCGGGGACCCTAAGCGCGAGGAGCGCGAGATCCAAGGAGAAAGAGAAAGAGTGAGTCAGAGAGAGAGAGAGAGAGAGAGAGAGAGAGAGAGAGAGAGAGAGAGAGAGAGAG